CTAAGGGGAGCTGTCCCAGGCCGTAAAATGATGGACATGAACCTTGAAGAAAGGCAGGTTTCCAAGCAAACACAGTCCCGCTGACATAGCTTAAGAGAACACTTGCATGAGTAAAACATACTGGTTTGTCAGGTCAGTTCTGAGTCTTAGGTGGAACCACTTGAAGATAAGAGTCTAGGGTAAATACATAGTTCGTTAACATAGCTTAAGATAAACATTTTTGTAAGAAAAATGCATTGGTTAGCTCAAGGTTTGAGAAAAGTTCAGGTGGAACCAGGTGTTACTGTGGCAACACAGAATTTTAAAAAGAAGCCTCTTTTTAAATTCATATAAAGAAGGGGAAAAAAATCTAACCCTTGTTTGTTTCCTCCTCCCACTTAAGAGAGATAAAAAATGTCTGACACTTGCAGCCTATTTCCTTGTTTGGAGACCCCTGGCCTTCCTGCCTGTTACCCTCTCACTTTCTTAAATTTTTTCTCTTAATCTCTGTACTGATTTATTTAAGTGATTTACTTTCCTAGTGTAGCTCTTCTCTTTGCTCTAGATTCCTGCTTCTCTATTTAGGAACTTTTTTCAGTTTTCTTTTTTTTTAGGATAGGTCTAGTGTTGCTGTATTCCTTTAGTTTTTGCTTGTCTGAGAAATTCTTTCTCTCTCCTTCTATTCTGAGTGGTAATATTGCTAAGTAGAGTATCCTAGGTTGCATGGTTTTCCCTTACTTTGAATATATCCTGCCACCAGAGAAATAAGCCAGTAGCCTTAAGGGGGTTCCCTTATACCTAATTCTTTTTCTTTTGCTGCCCTTAAAATCCTCTCTTTTTAACTTTTGCCATTTTAATTATAAAGTATCTTGGTGCAGGTCTGTTTGTCTTGGTTGGGATCTTCTGTGCTTCCTGTACTTGGATATCTGTTTCCTTCTTTAGGTTGGGGAGGTTTTCAGCCATGATTCTTTTCCATTTTTCAAATACATTTTCAACCCCCTTTTCTCTTTCTTCTTCTGGGATCCTATAATGCATAGATTGGCATACTTTATATTATCCCATAGGTCTTTAAGTTGCTTTCATATTTCTTCATTTGTCTTTTTGTCTGCTCTTCTGATTGGGTGATTTCCAGTATTCCATCTTCCAGATCACTTCTTTGTTCTTTTGCATTATTTAGTTTGCTGTTTATTCCTTTAGTTTGGTTTTCATTTCAGCACATGAGTTTTCTAATTTAATTGGCTCCTGAGTTTACAAGGACACCAGCATCATAAATCTGCCAGTCACGCATCTATGGGGACGCGCCCAGATTTCAGCCCTACCTCTGGGTGTAGGCAGTCTGCTGGCACTTGTGTGTTCCCCACGCTAGTTGAGTCAGCCACGCCTGCTGTGGGCATGGCAAAACTGAGGCCGCCCCTCCCTCACGCTTGGATTTACCATGGGGCTTCTGTGGCAGAGCAGTCTTCATCCTGTGCACACTTGCAGTTGCAACCCAGACCACACTCCAGCCCCGTTGGACTGACAGGGCCGTCCTCTCCAGGATCTGTCTGCTGAAACTTGAGTTTCGACACTTAGCCCCCAGGCGCACCAGCAGACGTGTGTCTCAGGCTCGGGGCGCAGTGAGGTGGCCAGGACCAGCTGGGCTGCCCTCCGTTCTGCCTTCCGCGGGCCTCTGTTGCTCTCTTCTCTGAGCCTCTGAAGCACCCTCTCTGTCCCAGCTGATTGCCTAGCCAGTGATGGGGATTCCCAGAGTGAGGGAACTTTTTTTTCTTGCACCAGTTCCATCCCAATTCCTTTTTTTTTTCTCTCTTCCCCTTTAATCTTACCACGTGATGATCTTCCTTGAAACTTTGAGTGTATGAGATATGCTAGTGTTCAGTAGGTGTTTTGTGAGAATTGTGTGTTCTGTGAGCTCTACCCTCTTCTATTTTGCCATCTTGATGTCTCCCCTAAGATAAATATTCCTCAGTTGGGCCATCTAAGAAATGATTGTTTCTTTACATGTAACTCACATGTCCTACAAAATGTTACACGCCAGCTGCCTCTGCAGGTTTACTACTTAGGAAAGAAAGCAGACCACTGTCAGAGTGAAGGATGAAGAGCAGCAGCTATGTATGGACTCCACAGTTTGCTTCAGTTTTACATTTTTTTATTCTACTTTGATTCTTTGAAGAGCTAGAAAATACACGCAATACAAATGTTGAAGAGCATATTCATATTGTTACTGTTTTCATAGAACTTTGACCAATAGTGGCTGCTTTGACTTAGAAATCTGACTGCATTAGTCCTGCCTGTTAAGGTTTTAAAGCATTATAGGCTTGGACTATACCTCAAAACTACTACATAAGTAGCTCTAAAAGTTATATTTAGGTATTTTTATTTTTCAAAATCTTCATGGCTGAATCTGATACACAAATAAGGTTGAGAACCACTGGCCTATAGGATAAACTTTGGATTGTAAGCCATGATCTTCAGAGTCAGGGTCAGTCTGGTTTTCTGGTCCATTCGCCCTATTCCCTGTATCTACTTTCCTACCTTTGTAACAGTATTATAGAACCTACCATTCTCCAGAGTTTTTTTTTTAATCTTCCTGGATGTTTCATATATTTATATACACATATACACATACATTTATATGTATATAAGGAGAAAAGTCAAACCAATCCTAAGTAATTTCAATGCATTCCTGAATGAAGTTCAAGAACATTTATAATACAGATACATCCACCACCAAACAAGGTAAAGTCTTTTTAGCATCCAATCAGAAATCACCAAGCATGAAAAAATAATAATGAAGAGAAAAAAACCCATAATGAAGACAAAAAATCAACCATTTGAAACCAAGCTAGAACTGACAGATGTAAGAATTAGCAGATATGAACATGTTTAAAAATTTAGAAGATATGGAAAAGGTAAGAAGACGATCAAGTGCAGAAGTGAATAATGGGCAGGCCACGCGTGGACTAGAATACTGGATTCTGACTTAAAGCTTGCTACCAGATGCACCTTAGTTGTCAGCTGCCATTCCCTGATACATTTTCATGTCAGTCTGCAAGCAGTTGATTAATTATGGTCTCTGTGCAGTCAAGCTACTGTTAATGGTAACTGTACTTGCAGCCTCTCCCCGGCACCAGCATCACCGCCTCACTTGTCCACCAGATCGTTAGGTGCTAGATTCTCACAGGGAACCTAGATCCCTCATGTGCACAGTTCACAGTAGGGTTTGCACTCCTACGAGGACAGGGTCTGAGGCCACCCCTGGTGTGACAGGAGACAGAGCTCAGGTGGTAACGCGAGCAGTGGGGAGAGGCTGGAAATAGATGAAGCTTCACTTGCTCACCTGCCTCTCACCTCCTGCTGTACCTGGTCCATGGCCGAGGGGTTGTGGGCCCCTGTTCCAGGTGGCACTCAAAGCCAGGAAGATTGCTGACCACTGTGTGTGTGTGTGTGTGTGTGCATGCGCACATGTGCAAAACTGATCCTGTGTGTGTGTGTGTGTGTGTGTGTGTGTGTGTGCGCGCACGCGCACACGTGCAAAACTGATCCATCTTTACATCTGCTTCCTTTTATATCTGGTTACCAGAACTCATCTGAGTACTTGAATGAGTTAGTCTAAAGGACTGGACATTACTCTTTCATTATTTGAATTTAGAGTTTATGTTTATATTAAAAAAGAAAAAATCTGTTTCCTGCCTTCCAGTTTATAAAGTCAGTGAAGACATCTGTTATGTCTGGTTTTGCTTATCATCCCCTGTCCCCAACACATGCCTAGCACTCAAGATGTTTCTTGACTGACAAGATACATGGGAAGGAATCACATTTGCCATACACTCTACTAGCAGAATAGAGGTTGCAGCTTTGTCTTTTAAGTGCCTGGATGTCTTAAGTGACTTAGGATAAAAAGGACAGCATGAGGAAACAGCGTTTGCAGTCTGAATCCCAATTCTGCCAGAAACTATGACCTTAGGCAAAACCTTAGGCTTTACTTTTCCTAGGCTTGATTTTCTTACCTAAAAAGATGGATAATCCCACCTTGCCTTGGTAGTATATAAAGTATCTTGTGTTTAACTGGGTGTTTATGCTAATTAGCAGTTATTTTACTTAATACATAATAATAGCAATAAAGTTGTGTATGGACAGAGTTCCCTTTTTAATAAAATCATCAGCAGTAGGTAAAACAGGACCATTCTGTGTCTAGGTTAAAAATCGAGAGTTTATTGAAATAGAACATTTATGTCAAAACTAAGAAAAACTTTGCAGGTCTTTTATGTTGATACCACTAAATAACTCCAGGATTTTAAATCCAGTTCACTGATTGGTTCAACAATAAAATATCATTTGCCAAGCACTGTTTTAGGTACTGTGCTCGGTTGCTAAGTCGTGTCCGACTCTGTGATGCCATGGACGGTCGCCCAGCAGGCTGACTTTGTCCACGGGATTTCCTAGGCAAGAATACTGGAGTGGGTTGCCATTTCCTTCTCCAGTTTTAGGTACTAGAGATACAGTAATGAAAAACAGTTGAGGCCTCATGGAGCGGACATTCTGGTTCAGAGAGACAAACAGTAAAGATAATTTCCAATCAGAACTGAGAACCATGTAGGCAAAAATGTGGATATTTAAGAGTGGGAGGACAGAAAGCTGCTTTAGATGGGACATATGTATGAACAGTTATCATAGCTCTAAACTGTCACAGCCGTATGAAGGACTTCTGAGCACTGAGGAGAGCTGGGCAGTTGTGTGGCAGTGATATCCACGGTTCTTGATGTGTATTATATTACGATGTTAAACTGACTCTTAAAATTTCAGAATACTGAAAGAAAGAAAACATTTATTATTTTGTAGGTACAGAATAATGTTGGAGACTTTTCAGATAAAAAAACGATGGACTCAGGAGTTATTTTGCTTGAAATTACAGAATCCCTGAGCAGAAGAGCTGGAACTATATTATAGGTTTATGGGGGGAAATGCTTTAGAAGCCAGAGTGTGATGCTTCTGTTACTACAGAAAAATAATTTTCTTTTCAGACTTCTTCACCACCACAACCAAGGAAGGATATGATATGAGGCGAGTGGACATAACTCCGCTAGAACAAAGGAAGTTAACTTTTGATACACATGCATTGGTTCTGGACTTGGAAGCTCATGGTGAGAAACATGGATCCCTCCTGAAGGAGAACGTTAACACCACTCATGATAGATTACCTAGTCAAGGCAACATCACCGTTATCAACCATTACAAGTCGTCATTTAAATATAAAACCTGTCCAAAAGTGGAGTATTTTAGTCATGAAAATGACTAAGTATGACTTAGAAAATATTTACTGAAAAGAGAAATGCTCAAGATATGTTCATTTAAAAGCATTATGTAAGATTACATGTACAGAATGTTTCCAGTTATGTACAAAAAACAACCATTGTTTCTAGTATGATATTAAGTTCATGTAGAAGTACAAGCACAACAGAAAAAAAACAAAACTTTTTTTTTTTTTGGTCTGACAATCTTTAATACTGGTTGAAAACAGACTGATGTTTGTTGCTGATGGGAGATATCGTTAATCCAATGTGCAAAAAAAGTGCAGCTGTCTATTTGTACTTGAGATATGTAAGACCAATGCTTCTGTACTATCTATACAGGTAAAAGATTTTAAACATAATGATTTCAGGAAGGACACTGCATCTTTATGGATAATCACGTGCTACCGAGAGCCCAAAAGTTCGATGACACTCTTTTAAGTTACACAAACGTATCCAAAGAAGTATACCTGTTCTTGTCCTAATTTTGATCCTAAACAAAAACCCAATTTCAAAATCAGGAATTATTTTGATCTAGGAAATCTTGGACTTGTTGCAAACATGCAAACCTTGTCTCTGAGAGCCAGGTTCCTACACTCCCTTTTCTAATCCTGTCACCACTGATCCAGCCCACAAACCCCATCAGCTGCAGAGTAGCAATACCCCAAATAAGAGTAAAAAAAAACTCAGCCCTCAAACCACCCATATGCCTTCTGGTCATGTGACATCTTTAGGGGCAGGTACAGGCAATCAAAAAGGATGAAGAAACACTTCAGCAAAGCAACCATTATTTGTCCACAAAAACCATGAAAAACAGTGATAGAAAATTAACAAACCAAATATATAAATCTGACACCATTTTGCATTTCCAGAACTTGTTTTATTTTCTATTAAAAATTTAAAAAATCAAAGGTCACAAAAAATTATCAGATATGAAAACAGTTACTTAAAGTATGTGATACTATAGGAATAGAAGAGTTGACTTAAAGGAATAAAGTGGCATTCAGAAACAAGTGTGTGTGCATATATGAATGTATATATCATTGTAAGGTGTATATATATATATATATATCTTAGCAATTACAAAGGCATTACAAATTAGGGAAAGGAAGGACTCTAATAATTGAGTTATGATAAATGACTGGCTATTGGAATAAATTCCTTTACTGAAAATAAATTCTAGATTGATTAAAAGCTAAATGTAAAATAAAAACTATAAAAAATATTATAATATAGAAATATTTTTAGACTTTTATAGAGTAAGGAAGCAAGACATAAGACTGAAAGGCAATGAAAGTAAAGACAGACAGATGCGACCACAGAAATATTTAAATCTGTGTATCAAAGGATATCTATAAGGTTAAAAATGTTAGCAACACATGTGACAATGAGCTTATTGCTTTAATATACAAAGAATTCATATGAGTCAATAAGAAAAGTTAAGCAGTTTTATAGAAAATGGACAGAGGCCATAAATAGCTCTCAGAAAAATAAATATATGTAAAGATGGGCTGTTGTCCTTAGTTGCTCGGTTGTGTCTGACTCTGCAGCCCCATGAACTGTAGTCCGCCAGGCTCCTCTGTCCATGGGATTCTCCAGGCAAGAATACTGAAGTGTGTTGCCATGCCTTCCTCCAGGGGATCTTCCCCACCCAGGGATCGAACCCAGGTTTCCTTCATTGCAGGCAGATTCTTTACCGTCTGAGCCTCCCAGGAAGCCCAGAAGAATACTGGAGTGGGTAGCCTTTCCCTTCTCCAGGGGATCTTCTGTCCAGGGATCGAACCCAGGTCTCTTACATTACAGGTGGATTCTTTACCAGCTAAACTACCAGCGAAACCCATATGTAAAGATACTTAAATGCAGTTTTTAAGTAGAAATTAAAATAACAATGCAATACCATTTTTAAACCAACTATATACTAAAAAAAAAGACCAGTAATACCAGTGTTGATGTAGATATGGGGAAACGGATCAGTGGAATTAAAATTGGAGAGTGCTTTTAGAGAGAAACTTAGCATAATCTGTTGGTTTTTAATTATAACCTTTTTGTTTTTTTAAAAGGCTTCAGTTGACCCTTGAACAGCGCAGGGGTTAGGGACACCGACTGCCTGCGCAGTTGAAACTCTGCCTTAACTTTGAAGTGGCCCTCTGTCCACAATTCCTCATCCATGGGTTCAACCAACCACAGACTGTGTGGTATATTAGTATTTACTATTGAGAAAAACCTGCATCTAAGTGGACCTAGTCAGTTCAAATCCATGTTGTTCAAGAGTCAACTGTATGAAAATCTAAATGATAGTCTATTTTGAGAAGGGTGTGCACTTTTTAAAAAATATAAAAACCTATTTGCTGTTTATAGGATTTGACAAAGCACAAGCAGAAACAATTGTATCAGCATTAACCACTTTATCAAATGTCAGCCTCGATACTATCTATAAGGAGATGGTCACTCAAGCTCAGCAGGTAATATATGCATTTTTATCACTTCTGATAGTCTCATTAAGATAATATTTTTCATAACCCACCTTCCATACACACCTGCATCTTCCTTATTGTTCTCTCTAAAGGGACCAGAATCCTTTAGTAAAGTCATCATCCAGAGAGATTGAGGAGCTAGAATAGTTATCACAAAATGATGGTAACACACAGAATGAAAGTTTGTCAGATCTTTCATTGTGTAAGATAATTATTTGAGTCATGAGATGGTGGTAGATGGCTAGTGAAACAAGTTTTTCCCCATAGAAAGCCCACCGCAGTAGAGGACCTGACCACTTGACTGCAGTTGTGTGTGTGTTCTGGCCAATTTTCACAAACTTGGAAAGCCGGAAGGGACTTACATGACAGGAAAGTGTGAGTCAGTCGTGTCTGACTCTGTGTGACCCCATGGACTGTACCCTCCAGGTTCCTCTGTCCGTGGGATTCTGCAGGCAAGAAAACTGGGCATCTTCCTGACCCAGAGATCAGACCCAGGTCTCCTGCGTTGCAGGCAGATTCTTGACCGTCTGAGACACCAGGGAAGCCCTGCATGGCTGGGAAGGACTTCATATATCACCTGGCTAAGATGCTTTCCCGTTCTGTTGTTTTCCTCTATTTCTTTGCATTGATCACTTAGGAAGGCTATTTTATCTCTCCTTGCTATTCTTTATTATATTAATACAGAATAAGTATATTTATTCTGTAATAAAATGTTTGTTAAGGATTAAAACAAAAACTATAGTTAATGCCTTAGAACTGCTTCATAATCATATTTTGGGGGAATACTGACAACCCCTTGAAGCCACTTCTATATGACTTGAGGTAATTCTCATTAATATTTCTTTTTTTTTTTTTAAGTATTTATTTATTTAGCTGTGTCAAGTCTTAGTTGCAGTGCACAGGCTCAGTAGTTGTGGCACATGGGTTTAGCTGCCCAAAGGCATTCGAGATCTTAGTTCCCTGACCAGGGATCGAACCCACATCCCCCCACCACTGGACTACCGGGGAAGTGCCTGCCCCTCATTAATATTTCAAGTAGAACTGCATAAAAGATGACGCTTAAGGATGGTATTATAGTCAGGGATGTCAACTGTACATAATAAAATATACTTTTAATTTTATATAGGAATAATATTTAAAGCAAAACTTCCTATCATTGGAGTCACACTGTCCTACTTCAGCCGTTAGGTCCCTGTCTTATTACATTTATTGAGTGCTGTGCTCCAAATATCACTGTGAACGTTTTATGTGCATTATCTCATTTAATCCTGAGAACAGTGCTATAAGGTATAGGTAATTATTTCCATTACACCAAAGAGGAGTTCAGAGAAGTTATTAATAAATAACCTGCCCAGAGTCTCAGAGTAAATGGCAGTGTTTGGATTCAAACCCAGGCAGTCTGACTCCAGAACTCACATTTTTAACTTCCACTCTCTGTGACTGTGCCATCTGAGGGTTGTTTTGGAGAAGATGTATGCATTCCAGACCCTTGGACGAGTCATTTCTTAGTTATGTATCTGGAACTGTTATAGCCCCTGTTTTCTAAAAGTCAAGTCAGTTTTGAAATAGTCTTTCTCCCTAAACTGGTCAGCAGAGGACTTATAACCCCAACAGTGCACCCCTGGTCACAAACTATGACAGAAATGGGAGTTCCACTAGTGATCTTGTTCTTGTTTGGGTTTTTTTGTTTATGAACCATGTTATAGAGGTTCTTCAAGGTTATACTCTCATCTGCTTTTTGATAAAGAGGGATAAAAGATAAATCAGCAAACTACATGAGTTTGAGAAGTTTTAGTGGTAAAAGTTATATTTTCTTTGTAAGCCTGCTTTAAATCATTTCTACAGGGGCTTCCCTGGTGGTTCAGTGGTTAGGACTCTCTGCTTCCACTGAAGGGGGCACAGGTTCGATCCCTGGTTGGGGAACTAAGATCTCACATGTTGCACAGTCAAAAATTAATCATTTCTACAAAAATATCCCTCACTAGGAAAGCAAAAGTTTATAAATCTATCAGATAGGGCCCACTTTTCCTTTCACGAATTCATTATATTGCCAAATATAGGAAAGATACTCAGGAATTTAAACAAAACTAATTATGCTGACAAGGGCTAATGATTTAAACCATACTTCTACCTATTTTATTACCTGACTTCTAAGTCTTATCTAGTATCCTAGAAATTTCCAATGGTAAAAAATCCTTCAAAGTTAAAGCAATGAAAGAGCTTTCCCATGTAGATATTTTTTAAATAAGATTATTTGTTGAAGAACTCTTAGAGGTTAAGTAAGCAATTTATTGGGACTCTTTCATTGAAAAGACCTAGACATTAGTTTCTCTTCACTGGGAAATCCTTTTCCTCCTTGAATCTCCTGCTTTTCATTTTGATATCTCAGATATATAGGTTTCATATGCTTAAATTTTTTTTACTTAGCCAAGCAACATTATACCTTGTAGAAAGATAATTTTTTGTGTGTGTGTGTGTAGCACAGTTTTATTAAAGTATAAAAAGGGACTGAGAAAGTGTCTGACACATCAGAAGGGGGACAGCGAGCACCCCACTAGTTTTTTAAGTTTCATGAAGTTCCATGTAAGGGAATGGTGGTATATAGATCACTAGATGACTTTAATTTTGCGTTTCAGGAAATAACAGTACAACAGCTAATGGCTCATTTGGACTCCATCAGAAAAGACATGGTCATCCTAGAGAAAAGTGAATTTGCAAATCTGCGAGCAGAGAACCAGGTGATACAAGTCTCAATTTATTAATAATAAAATACTGATTTCACAAGTATTCTACTTGGTGAATAGGGCCCAAAAACAGTTTCATGTGGTTATTTAAATAAGTTTTAAGTAAAAGTCTACTACATGTTTAACCATACCTAATCTTCCTATGTATAAGTCAGTGTTTTGCATGCTTAAGAGTTGTTTTTAAAAAATGAGAGTTGTATTTTATATGGGTCACATAAAGGAGGAAATCTTTGAGGTACATATTTTATAAAATTTCTAGTGTGGTTTAGAATAATGTTTTCAGAGCTGAGAGTAATGTGGCTTGGGGTGGGGGTGTGGTCTGTAACTATTTTTGTCACTTAAGAGAAAAATGTTTCTGTAATTCAGTCAGAACTTTGTTATCCACTAGCCTAAAATATTAGAATGTCAGCCTACTTTTTTTTAAAGCAGACTACAGTAGGTCCCCCTTTATCTGCATTTTTGCATTCCACAGTTGTAGTTATGTGTAGTCAACACAATCTGAAAACATTACGTAGGAAATTCCAGAAATAACTCATGTTTTAAATTGCATACTGTTCCAAGTAGCGGAATATCTTTCACCATCCTGCTCCATCCGCACAGGACAGGAATCATCTCTTTGTCCACAGTATTCACACTGTGTATGCTATGCACCAGTTAATGTAAGAAAAAACATAGTATGCACATGGGCTTCAGTGCTAGTCGGGGTTTCAGGCATCCACTGGGGGTCCTGGAACATATTCCCGTATGGACTGGGGGGACTACTATATTAAAACATAAATACATTTTCTAATGTCATGTTCATATTATTTTCTGAATAAGAGAAACTATTAGATTTTTTTTATTTATAATCAGTTTTTATATTAGAAATCCATAGATTGTCCAATTTTTGCTTTTGCAGGGTTTCAGATTTTTTTTGATAAATCATATGGGCTTTTGGTTTAACACCAATTGTGTGTGATCTTTCTTTATACCTAGAAAATGAAAATTGAATTAGAACAAGTTAAACAACAACTGATAGTAAGTGAAACTTTTTTCCCCACTTCAGAATATGTAAATTTCAGACAGATATTCATGACGAGGTCACTTTTTAAATATTTTTATTTTCTTTTAAAGAATGAAACTAGTCGAATCAGAGCAGATAACAAATTGGATATCAACCTAGAAAGGAGCAGAGTAACAGATATGGTAATGTGTTTTTAAATGTACTTTTTTGGTCACTTATTCCTTTAAAAAATTCCTTTTAGTTTTTTTTTTTTTCCTCTAACCTGCTGATAATTCATATCCTTTAGTTTACAGATCAAGAAAAGAAACTTATGGAAGCAACCACAGAATTTACCAGAAATGTAAGCTACTGGGTAACAGTTCCTCTGTTTTCGTATAGCTGTCATGCCTTATGTAGCTACCCTCACGGGTATCACTTTGTAAGTCTGGACTTGAACAGGCTGGCCCTGTGCAGCCCGTCATTTCCTCGTAACTACTACAGGTAACCAGTACTTTGGGGGAAGCTGCCGCTAGGTGGGTGGTAGTACTGGAGCTGTGACTTCTGAGGCAGAACCAAGCTTTCCAGGTAGCACTTGTTTTTCAACTATTTTTATATGGAAGATAATTATTTTTCAAAAAGACAGGGAGTCACAGTATTTAAGTGCCTAGATTCAAGTAGTTATCTTACATATTTTTTAAGTAATAGCAAATATTTATTGAGTGCTTATTATATGTTAGATCCTACTTTACTTACTTTCTATTTATTAGTTATTGTGTCAGCCTCTGGGCGAGGCAGGCACTCTTATTCCCATTTTACCAGTTCGGAAAGTGAGGCTTTGGGAGGTAAAGGTCACACAGCTAGTAAGTGGTAGAGCCAGGACGTGAACATGGATTCTAAACTCCATACTCATAAATCCTGTTTGTCTCTCAGTAATCCTAAATTGTAATCATTACTTAATCTCTATGGCTGAATAAAACCTAACTCTCAGCCTAGTCCTTTCCTTTTTTAAAAGTTAAAAGCCACTTGGTCTACATTCCAACATGAGAGACATCATTCTTGATTATACTTCAGTAGAAGAACAGGTACCATTTGCCTTTCCAAGTAGCCTGTTCCCTTCTCTAACTTCTTGGTCAGATAAAGGAGATGAAATCAAGTTCTCTCACTGCTAATTTCTGAGCTCTAAGTATCACCTTCTTTTCCTACCCTTCAGCCCGTGTGCACAAAACATTCAGTGTTAACTCAACAAGCATATCTGCCATGGTCTTTAATATTGGTGTCAGTTTATCATAATCCTGGTTGGTTTTTCCTTTTGTAAAAGATATTTAACGTTTTAACTATGATATCTTAAGGACTTTATACCCATAATGTGATAGTTCTGTGACTGACATTTTTGCTTCTTAGTTTATCCTTGTATATTTAGGTCTCAAATACAGGCATACCTCAGAGACACTCCAAATCCAGTTCCAGACACAGCAATAAAGCAAATATTGAAATAAAGTGAGTCACAGCAATTTTTCAAGTTTCCCAGTTCTTATAAAATTTACATTTACACTATACTGTAATTTATTAAGTATGCAATAATAGCATTATGTCTCAATAAACAATATCCATACCTTAATTAAAAAATAAGAATCGCTAAAAAGATGTTAACCAGTTATCTTCTGAGCCATTACTGAGTAGTAATCTTTTTGCAATAATAACATCAAAAGTTACTGATCACAAATCACAATAATAAATATAGTAATAATGAAAATGTTTGAAGTATTGTGAGAATTACCAAAATGTGACACAGAGACATGAAGTGAGCAAATGCTTATGGAAAAATAGTGCTGATAAATCTACCTGACTCAAAGTTGCCACAAACCTTCCATTTGTTTTTTTTTAAAAAAAATGCAAAATTTGCAAAATGCAGTAAAATGAGGTATGCCTGTAACTTACCTGTGAGGTTTTTAGTGGAATGTGCCCAGAATGTGATAATCCTAGTAGTCTCCAAATATCAAAGTAGAAGGAATAGTTTTTGTCAGTTTATAATGTTAATGTAATTTTTATATCACTGTTTTTTTTTTTAAGCTATGTTTCCCCACTTAAAAGTTTTGTAACACAAAATTAGCCCCTAAATGAGGGTTTCTAAAGTAAACATTTCTGTCCATGATACATAGAGACAAAATCTAATTATCTTATTCTTAATTACTACAGGATACCAAAACCAGAGGTATTATTTCAGAGACTGGTAACAAAATTGACACTGAAATTGCTTCTTTAAAAACTCTGATGGAGTCCAATAAGCTTGAGACAATTCGTTATCTTGCAGGTAAGACTGTGTTGTCAGAGAAAGGAATTACTATCATTTGATTTTCAGACCCATTAGCTCCTACCTCCCAAGGTAGTAGCCTGTGACACAAAAGGAGGGGCTGTAACAGAGTTACTGTTTGGTCCCCTGCAGTGCTTGGAAAATGTAAATTTAATAGGCCACTCTGCAGCCTCTGAAAAGGAAAAAGTGTACGGTAGTCAGAGACACACATAAACACCTGTACAAAATGATGCAAAGATTAAACTAGGTAGTCCACAATTAGGTACAGATCACCAAAACAGATATAGGCTATTAAAAACCACAGCAAACAAAGGGGTAGAAATTACTTCTATTCTTGAATCCAAATGAGGAAGCAGGGATACTGCCCAGAATTAGTCTGTCACATACTGAGTTTGTCAAGAACCTTGTGACCTGACCAATTTATAGAGCCCCAAGGAGTTAGGAAGAATGCCCTCGAGTAGTATTTTCTTTTATAAAAAAGTAATATATTTTCATCCTAAATTGTTTGTATAATTGAAAAGCAATATAGTAAAAATGAAAGCCTTCTCCCTCCCCATATGTATTTACTATTGGTAGTATATATCTTTCCTAGGTTTTTCCTTCTGTATGTGAACATTATAGATTTTTAAAACAGTAATTAGATGATACTCTACAAGCTACAACTTTTAAAAATTTAACCAAATGTCTTGAACATCTTTCCATATGAATACGTAGATATCTTTTTACTAGAAATCATAGTATTCTATAATATGAAAATACCATAATTTATCTAAATATCTAATATCTACTTACAGACATTCTGCTCTGAAGTTTTCATTATTAAAAAAAATATTGCACCAAATAGTCATATATATGTGTGTGAATAAATACACATACACACATATACATCCTTGTGCCTTCATGCTAGAATTTCTATATAATTAATTGCTTATGCACATCTAAAAACTGGGATCAAAAAGATAAACACATTTAGGATTTTGTGTTGTTATTGTCCAAAATAAAATAGCTGCTTTATAGCATCAGTGGTTTTTCTGGGCAGGCACTCATTATGTTGGAGCAACAGTAGGAATAAAGATGACCCCAGCCCCCTACTGATGCTCACCTCCACACCCCCTTTTTCTCCTCAACTTGAATGACTTAATTTCTGCCTTTTTCAAATATTGGGCTTCTGCTAAAGATCCATTTGAAAAAAAGGATTGTAAGGCTAAAATGAGTTTCAAAAACCCTAGCAAAAGTCTCTGGAACCAGAGATCTGTTCAGTACTAATGCTCAGGGGAAGTTCCAGATCAGCCCAGTTTGGAATGATCGTTCCCACTTTGAAAATAGATCTCAAAGCACCCCATTAGGAAGAGCTGCTGTTGCACTCAGCGTCTTCTAGTGTATTTACCTACAGATGCAGTGTCATGGTTAGTCTGAGCATGGTGATGGTCTCCAGAAAGGTTTTCATTCATTAGTGGACATACACGAGGCAGACTAACAGACTTAGTGGCAGTGGGAAAAGAAATTACCAAGTCTGTTTAGAAAGTTAGATTTCCTGTGTTCCTTTCCTTTTTTCACTGAGGACTTACAACTGCTGGTTCTGAAGGCACTGCTCTTCTCTTTACTTGACAGCAACTACTTTAGAGTCAGGTTACAGCCTTGGGTCCTGCTTCCACCGTTGCTCGCAGTGTGGCTTTGAGCTTGTTGCTCATCTATACAATGGGGATACTGTCACTAACTTCATGGGGTTTTAATCATGGCTAGATAAGGTAATACATGGAATTCTTCAGCACACTACCTGGAACATGGTAAATAGTAGCAGGATCAAATGAGAGAATGTGTAATTGACCAGTGACAACAAGACAAGAAATTCTTTAAGTGTTACTCTTTCTCCTCAAATGTCCAGCTTCCCACCATGACTTAGACCTAATCCCATTTCTTAAAATTAGGGAACTCTTGTCATTAACCAAGTGTTAGTAGTGTGATCAAATGGGATAATATATAATTAATTTACACATTAAAAATAGGATAGCTTTACTATAAATGGCTGTTTCTTATGTCTTTAATCATTGAAGTTTGCTCTTTATCTCAGAGTCTCTAAAATCATGGCTGTTTAAACAAACTAAAAAACTAGGGAGTCCAAAAGCCTCACCCAGATTCACCACCTTAAGGAGAATAGAAAGGTTTTCTATTTAGAGTGATGTAACACAGACAATAGGTGGTACATGAACTATTTAAAAAGTCTGATGCTTTTTCTGCCTTTTCTTCTACCTCACTGAGTTGTTTCTGAAGGGTTTTCATTAACAATTCATTTTTATAAATTTTTAATAATTATGAAATAATTTTTAATGTACTTTTAAGACAATTTGTCTTATGGATCATGTAGATGTCTGTTCTTCTAGCTTAATGACATAATTTTTTAATGTCGGCAAGAAAAGTTTTTCACTTAAAAATTATATGAAATTAATTTATAATTATTTAAAGTAGTATTGTTAATGTAATATTAATAATGACTTGAAACACTTTATAGATTCTAACAGATTTTTAAGTTACTGTCATCCTTATGTAAAATATAGGAAGCTTCTAAGAATTGGTATTAATCATGCCCTAATCGATATCCTTTATCATTAGCTTAATTTTCTAGGGGATGAAAAACGGAAGGGAGAAGATTGGCTGGATTTCCTGATTTTTTTTTTTTTTTTTGCTTTCAATTTAAATTGAAAATGACATTATTCTGTTTGTCTCTGCAGGATAATCTCAAATGCATGACCTATAACACAGATTCTTCTTTTCACAGCCTCAGTGTTTACTTGCCTGGCAATAGCATTGGGATTTTATCGACTCTGGAAATAACAGTGAAACTGCTGTAGTTATGCATGCTCCTACTCCTGCTGCTTTGACTGTTGGAACACTGCCTGGATGGATTTACTCTGAACATTGAAAGTTAGAGTAGGAACTGAAGACACGATTATTTAAAGTACATATAGACTAAAAGGAAATTTTTTAGAATGGAAGGTATGTTTTGTCTTTTTCATGTATGTCTTTATTATGTTGAAAGAGGCCATTCAAAACTTGATAGATTTGAGATAGGGCTTTTGTCTTTATGGTTTTGATAGCTCACAGAAACTGAACTAGAGTTTTCTTATGTTTACTTGAGCGACTGTAAATCATATAGCATTTCTTTTGTATCTGTTGCAAATCTGAAAACTGTTCCCAAGCCCACATGCTTGTTACTGTATTCAACTTTCCTGATAGCTACTGCACAATTACCTTTTTATATAAAATATATACAATAACAAAGTTGTTTGGATTTTAAAAGGAACTTATCATATAGCTAGAGTTAGGTTTTTTTGGTAATGAACTAAAACAATAAATTTTAAAATAACGTGCCCTAGTTCAAGTATATGACACTCAGGATGAAATCCGCAGAATTGTTAATTTCTAATTCACAAAATCCAATTTATCCCTGTTTCTTGGGAACCCATCTTAAATTTATTACATAAAACAAAGCTTTTTAAAATTCAGCACATGTCTATTGGCATGTAATCCCTATTCTCAAGAAAGTCATGGGGAACTTTATATTTTTGTTTTGACATTACTGGGTCTATTTTCTTTGATAATAGCATCAATTAATAGGATATATAGTTCAAGGAAAGTACAAAATACCATTTCATCTCAGACCTTCAGTTTTAGCCAGATCAAGAAGCCAAGGCCAAGAAGTGCTAAATATTTCAAGATTTCATAATGCCTTGGCAAAACTTTGAAGTTTGATGATCCATTAGTTACTCAAAATGACCTCCATCATTTGTTTAGTTATAAATAGGGAATCTAAATTATAGAGCAGTCAAAAGACCAGCCCATATATGGTCTAGTGAGTGAGAATCAGACACTTTCCAACTAAATTTGTTTCAAAGATCTAATGGCTGACTTGTTTGCAAATTAAAACTTTCTGTACTTATCTTGTATTCTGATTTAAAATATCTCAGAATTCACTTGCCTAGAAAAATTCTTAGCACATTATAAATAAATTTGTATGTAAATAAGATCATATAGGTTCCATTGTAATAAATTCTACAGTACATTTATTCACTCAATAAATAAGAATGCCTGCTATGGGCATGCTGGTCCCCACATGCAGAGCTTACCTGGCTTCCTTTCCATTGAACTGAGGATCTTAGTTGAAGATAGACAGTAAACAGGTAAATTATTCATTTGCACAATGTAAAATACGCTAAATTTTAAGGACTATGTCTTCCCTCCATGTGAAGGACGCTCCAGTAGCATACACTGGAATCACTTCCTCAGCCGCCCTGCCACAGGTGCTCAGTGAGATTAAAGGTGAAGCAGGCCGGTGGCCCGACTCACTTCTCCCCAGTGCTGTCTGGGACCGGCCTTTCTACTCACAGCGCTCACTCCAGTCTGCTCCTGTGGGATAAGCCCTGGTGATGAGTTCAGCGCACGGGCACTCAGCAAGCCACCAACGTGCAAGCCACTGGAGCCCACGAGTGGCCCAGAGGCCCTCAGGCGCGCGCACGCCCGCGGTTCTAGTCGGAAAGACCGCCAGAGCATCCCCGCACCGCAGCGGGACGGCCAGCCGTCTGCGCGGCCTGCAGCCCCGCCTCCCCAGGCCCACAAGCGGTTGTGGCCCGACCCCGCTCCGGACCCGCGGGGCGGTCCCTGCGCTGCCAGGCTGAGTCCCTCCTCGGGTCTCACCCGCACCCAGGGGCTGCGCATGCCAGCAGGTACGCGTCTCGGGCTGGAAGTGTGGGGAGGCGGCCAGGACCTTCCGTGGTGGTCCGTCTGTGCCCTTCAGCGCCGTGGGCCAACCCCACCCCGCCCTCCCTGTCCCTGCCAATCCGCCGGTCCCGCAGGAGGCTCCTGCCTAGGGAGCGTTCTTCCACAGCACGCGCCCAGACGTGCAGGTCCCATCCCAGTTCCTCTTCTCCCTTTCCCTTCATCCTCCCGGTTACGTAGGGATTGGAGCTTCTGTTGTGAGAGATCTGAAAGCCGTTGTGAGAGATCTGCAAGCCTTTGTAGGTATTCTGTGAGAATTGTCCCACATGTCAATGCCTTTTTTGATGTGTTTGTGGGAGGAAGCGCGCGCTCCATGATCCTGTCCTTCACGCCATTCTGAACTGAGTCCCAGTGTTTTCTCAGTGTAAAGGAAACAGTGAGGCGGTGGGAACGGCTATGCGCAGACACTGAGGTTAGTGGCTGGCATTCTGTAGAAGAGCCACATTGACTATACAACACGAGAGAGGGATGGGGTGGGGACGGAGGCGGGATCCGGATGGGGAACACATGTAAATCCATGGCTGATTCATGTCAATGTATAGCAAAAACCACTACAATATTGTACAGTAATTAGCCTCCAACTAATAAAAATAAATGGAAAAAAATATATGCTAAATAATATATCTCACTCACCTGTTTGTCATAGCAGTCATCTTAGGCAGGTGGTTATCCTCATTTTACAGCTAAAGCAACAAGCTAAGTGAAATTAAGGTCACACAGTGGGTAAGTCACACAGACTTTAACTCCAGAGTTTATACTCTTAATAACAAGAGTAATCTCCAAGTTGAGTTCTCTGATGAGTCACTGTAGTTTTTTTTGATTTGCATTTTTCTAGTACTTAGCAACTCTAGCCAGGCTCTTCTCTTGTGTCCAGGTTCATTCCTGGCAGTGTCCAGTGACTCAGTACCTTACCACATTGCAGAAGAAGAAAGGGGCAAGATGTGGGAAAACCCTTTCCCTTTAGGGACATGACCATAAGTTTATACATGGCATTTCTGCTCACACTCTTCTTGGCCACAACTTGGCATCTTAGCTGCAAAGGAAACTGAGAAGTCAGCCCTTAGCCTGAGTAGCCACAATTCCAGGTAAATCCTAATACTTTGGAAAAAGAAGAGAAATTGGGAGACAACCCAGGGACCCTCTGCCACAAGGGTGTGTGCTTCTATTAAAACGCTCTCCTGGTATTTCCTGCCTCACTGGTACCGACGGAGATACGACCCCGAGAAAACTGGGACAAGTACAACAAACGGTGAGAAAACTGAGCGAATAGGAGACAGTGTTCCTGGGTGGGACCACCTTACAGTTACCAGGCTTGAAGGAAAAAGTAAGGCTGCGTGACGTCCCTGAAGGGGAGGGGAATGCTGGACTTGGGAATTCTGGTTGTGGTAAAGAAGAATGCAGACTCCGAAATTTTCCTCCTAAGGTTAGAACCCTAGCTCCATGTTGCTGTGTGACTCTAGGCGAATTGCTTAACCTGCATGTATCAAGTACTACACCTCCATCATATAAACTGTGGTGGGAATTAAGCAGTAATCAGATTGAAAGCCTACTGCACAATAATGACTGTAAGGGTTACATAAAGGATAGGTAGGCCATTTTTTAACACTTGCTTATAGCCCTTGACAAGCCTAAACATGTCTCAGCAAGCAAACGCACTCATGTCAGGGCATTCAAGCCCTGGTGATACTGGGCCAAAATGGCCTTGAGCACCATGTACAGTGCCTGCCAGGGCTGAGAGGCTGGGCAGCCTGGGGTGTGCAGAGCCTGCTGCCAGCGAAGCAAGGGCTGTGGGCTTGATCACTGGACATGATTATCATCCTGTCCAATCAACCTTGTCTATGATTCCTTTCTTATAAAGCCTGCAAGACAGAACAATGGCTGAATTCTAAAGCAGATTATTTCGATGTGTATTTTTAGCAAACGCTCATTATGTATTTTTTCTTTTTACAAGAGCTGATTTTCATTTTATGTAAACTTCCATGGAGATATTTGGTTGTTACTATAAAGTCGTCCTTTTCTAAAACTTACTAGTCTTGTAACTTCCCTGGTGGTCCAGTGGCTAAAACTCCAAACTCCCAATGCAGGAGGCCCAGGTTTGATCCCTGGTCAGGGAACTAGATCCCACATGCTGCAACTAAGACCCGGCACAGTCCAATAAGCAAACATTTAAAAAACAAGTAAAACTTACTAGTCTTTTTCTCCCACGTTCAGATGCTCTTTAACAGTCAAGTCATGTGACATACATATGACTAAAGAAGCACATCAAAGATGCTCAACGTCACTAATTATTACAGAAATTAAAATCAGAGCTACTATGAAGTACCACCGCTCACTGGTCAGAATGACAATCATTAAGAAAATCTATAGGACTTCCCTGGTGATCCAGTGGTTAAGAATCTGCCTGTCAATGCAGGAGACATGGGTTCAATCCCTGGTCTGGGAAGATCCTGCAAGTCACAGGGCAATGAAGCCTGTGAGCCACAACTACTGAAGCCTGAGCGCCCTAGAGCCCATGCTCCACAACAGGCAGCCTGCACGCCACAACGACAGAGCAGCTCCTGCTCACTGCAACTAGAGAAAGCCCACACACATCAAAGAAGGCCCAGAGTAGCCAAAAATAAATAACATATTTTAAAACCTACACATAAATGCTTGGTAGATTCTGGAGAAAAGGGAACTGTCCTACATTGCTGGTGGGAATGTAAATTGGTGCAGACACTACAGAAAACAGTATGGAGGTTCCTCAAAAAACTAAAAATAGAGTTGCCATATGATCCAGCAACCCCACTCCTGGGCATATAGACAAACAAAACTATAATTCAAAAAGGTACATGCACCTCTGTTCACAGCAATACTATTCACAATAGCCAAGATGTGGAAACAAGTGTCTATCAGCAAATGAATGGCTACACTACTCTGCTATAAAAAAAGAATGAAATAGTGCCATTTGCAGCAACATGGATGAACCTAGAAATTATACTAAATGAAGCATATTAGAGACAAACATTACATCACTTATATGTGGGATCTAAAAATATGGCACAAATGAACTTAACTATGAAGCAGGTACAGACTCACCAATATAGAATAAACTTGTGGCTGCCAAGGGGAGGACAGGTGGGAGAGGGATGGATTGGGAGTTTGGGACGGCAGATGCAGACTATTATATATATTGACAGGAGGGGTAGACAACAATGTACTACTGTGTACCACAGGAAACTATATTCAATATCCTGTAATAAGCCATAGTGGGAAAGAATATGAAAAAGAATGTGTGTATATTTATGTGTAACTGAACCACTTTGTTGTACAGAAGAAATTAACACTGTATCAACTATACCTCAGTAAAATAAATTATTTTTAAAAAGTCATTTGAAAAGTTGGGGGAAAAAAGCTATGCCTACATTGGTAAAATAGTACTCCCTAAAAAGTAAAAGAAATATAATTTATTATGAAGCCATAACAGAACTTTCAATAATCTTTAATATATATAACAACCTTTTTATTATTACATTAAATTTTAAAGTTTATGTGAATATTGGAAAAATTAATAATTCACAGTTTTGGCTTGCCCACATAAATATATAAAAAGTATATTGGGAGGGGAAATACAACTGAGTCCATGTAATTTTAATCCCTTTGACATCATGTAACATATTTCTGCCTTCAGAATTGGAATAACTGTGCATCAGAGTAATTCTGAGATGAATTTATATAGACTTACACATATTTATTTAAAAATAGAAAAAATCAAGTTTATTTAAAGCTATCTACTGATTAGTACCTTTTCACAAAAACTCCCCCAGAAGACACCTTCTTCTTCACTCGCCTCTTCTCTTTGCTTAACTCACAGGAAATGTCATCTTCCTACAAAGGAAAAGATTGCCAAATTAGATGTCTTAGGATTTCTATGCTAGACACATTTTCATCTTTCTACATTATCTGTTTCAAAAAAAAACCATGCTAATAATTTTCAACTCTAGTATACATCTCTTTTAGAATTTTGTGTAAGGAAGTTCTTACATCTGAGGCACCAGGGCATCATACTGCACTGACTCATCAGCCTGGGAGGCACCTTGAGAAATCAGCCAGCCCTGCCTTCCCCTCACACACCCCCAGTACAGAACACCTTGTCATTCCTGCTTCTCTCTGACCAACACTTCACAGCGTATCACTACAGGAAATAACACAAAGCGTTAACATGCCGCCCTCTGGACTCAGCAAGCCCCACTGGGCTGGGAGCCCCACTCCAGGGTCCGGCCTGCCCTCCCCTGCTCACACAGTGCCCCCAGCTGCTCAGCCCAGGTCCTGCTTTACCCTGTCGCGCACTATTTCTGAATACATCTCATCTATCATGGTATTCTCAGTATCTAGCACAGAAGACTCACTTCATAAAGGCTCTGGGGAGCAGGAAGAGAAGACTAGAAACATCAGATACTCATATATGTCAGTCATCTTTGGATAATTCTTCCAGTCAAAAATGCTCTGTCCGGTTGAGCAGGACAGATCTGAATGCAGGCATTTCAGGAACATCACAAGGCGCATGTCTATCAGGAGAGCCAATGACTACAGGTGGCAGTCCCCAAGGTGTTCCCACCTACACCTCTGCTAATGAGGTCAGTCACTTAACTCATACGAGCATGTGAACACAGAAGGAAACTGCTGTGATTGGGAGCAGCACCACCCAGGGAAACAAAATCACACATCTGTTCCTCCCCCTCAGCTGAAAATTTGAGCGAGGAATAGATGGAGAATCTGCTAGCCATCCCTTATAGTGGCCAGGCACTGGTGGGCACAGAGTAATACAGCCCCTTCTCTTGAAAAAGTTTGCCAACCAGTCTGAAGACCAAGAACAACAAACCTTTTAGTGGGGTTTAGCAGATGGTGCCACTGTATTTCATACGTTACACATACAACAAGGTGAAGCAGCTTGTATTACCAACATTTTAGAGATACACGGACAGAAGGCCAAGATGTTAACCAACTTTCCCCAAGGTCACAAAACTAAGTCAATGGCAGGATTTTAATCCAAATTTTGTCTCACACCTAAGATCATGCTATAACCATTCTTCAATTCTTTCAGCAAAAAATTTGCTCATTCACTTCCTACAACTGTCCTGTGTACTGTATATACGATGCTGCAGGTATGCAAAAAGGCATGAGAGCTGGTTCCCACTCAGGAGTCTGTCTGGTGGAGGGGCAGATGGAAAATAGGTGCTCACTTGACCCCAAGGTTTCAGGAGGACCTCAAGATCATCAGGGGATGAATGCAAAGATGTACATGAAAGAAAAACACTGAGGTAGGGCAGGAGTTAAACCTCATCCAACTAAGACAGAATCAGAGAAAGGAAACAAAAAATGCAGGGAACACAGGAAGCTACTTGTCAGAGACAGCCAATTTTCTAGTGCTTAATAGCATTACCAGACTTTTGCTAACAGTAACATTTATTTCCCTTTTTCATATATGCTAACTCCTAAAGGAGGTTTTTAACAATCCCAAATATTCTAGAAAGAGTGATTATATATCAAAGCCTCAACTAACATCAAATAGGTAACCTGTTCTATCAAACCAAGCCTTACCATAAACTAGTTCAAAAGAAAATAGGTGCTTGGCACCCAACAGGCCTCCAGTAAGTCTTCACTGAAAGTTCCAAATTCCAAATGTTTTTGCATTTGGGGAACATTCTTCACCAAGATTACTCATCTCCTCATCATAAATTATAGCCAGAAACATTTTTCTCCCTAATATGTGTTTTCTCCCAAACTTGGGGAAAAATAACTGCAATACTGAGAGATTAAAAACAAACCATGATGCTTAGGCACCAAAAGCAATTCTAAGTGTAAATTAGCCAACAACCCCTGTATGAAAATGTATGTATTCTAAATATTAACCAGTTTCCATCTGAAAGAATATAAAGGTTTGTTAAAGAGACTAACAACACTGCACATGAAACTGGGGACAAAGGTATATGGGATTCTTTTTTTGGGGGGGGGGGAGGATTCTTGTTTTTACAAAGTTCCATGCAACCTAAGAAGTTCTGGGAAGCATATACAACTAAAACGAAATGATTCTTGATTATGAAAAAGGTCTTAGTAAGACTGTCAAAACAGTATAACCAATACAAAGAGAAATCACAAACTTCTAGAACTTCCTTACAGTAATAGCTCAGCATGGATAAACTCACTTAAGCTCTCAGATTGTTCCAAGGACCATTAACGGGCTCACAGGCTATGATGTCAGGACAGAGAAAAGCCCAGCAGAGAACATATCAAAGTCCAACCATGTTCCACAGCCTTGTAGGTAGAAAACAAGAGAAATTTAAACCCAGAAGTAATCATGGAACGTTACCAGTTCCACATTGGCCATTCTAGATTAGCAAGCATGGCCCAAAGCTTTGCACCAATGACCTCCCAAATGACACTGGTTTTAGCCGGAAGCATGAGGAGTTCAGTGCTGTATCAATCTGTGGACAGACATCTCTCCCAAAGCTATTAGAGTTCCCATCTAATTTAAGTTTTTTAAGTAAACACTTTTATTTAAGTACAATACACATATTAAAAATGTTAGTTGCTCAGTCATGTCCAACTGTTTGCAACTCCATAGACCGTAGCCTGCCAGGTTCCTTTGTCCAAAGAATTTTCCAAGCAAGAACACTTGAGTGGGTTGCCATGCCCTTCTCCAGGGGATCTTCCTGACCCAGGGATTGAATCCAGGTCTCCTGCATTGCAGGCAGACTCTTTACCATCTGAGCCATCAAGGAAGCCACATATCAAAGAGCACCCCAACGAGTGTGCAGTGTGATGAACTTTACAAATGAAAACAACGAACAAAGGCTTGAGGGTGGGAAAGTGTTGGGCAAGTTCAGAAAAAGGTAGGCTGCATGTAACAGAATAGAAAACAATAAGCTGGTGAGGTGGGTTAATATAAGCTAAGATAGTATATGAGAAAGCACTATCAAAAGTTATTATCAAAACCAGTTATTATAAAGAAACGATTTAAGTGCATTACATCAAACTAGCCTAAGAAATTTTTTTCTGGCTAAAAATTATACTATTGCAGATTCTTTTATAGATTATTTTACAAAATCTTAAGATGGAGACCCAATCATGGGTCTCTTATCAGCAGGTGACAGGAGAAAGATTTAGTGAGAGCTTCTTGAAGCCTCTATAAAAGTAAGCACAGAATCAAAAGTTCATTTTATTTAGACTTTATGTGTTTAGACTCCAAAATAAACTAATTCCTTCTACTCTCAGATGCATAGGGCTCTACACATTCATTTATCCACTATGTTTACACAACTCAAATGTAGAAAATGGAAAGAAAGAAAGGAAAAAAAGAGGAATGGATATGAGGAAGGGAGAATGTAATACTATGAATACTGGAGACAGAAGATACCTCAGGATTTTCACACAGTATTTCATCTAACATCAATACCCCACGGGGTAGGTGTTATCCCCATTTTACAGATGAGAAACTTGAGACCCAGAAACTTTTGCAGAACAGAAAATAAGCAACTTCCATGAGAGGTGAGTGACATTTGCTCATTTACAAAAACTGGTGGAACCTAAAGGACCACAAAACCCAATGGGCCTGGAGCACAAGACCACAAGTCAGCACTCCTGAGAGCTACACATCGCTGGTAGAGAGCAAGGTCTTAGGGAGGAGGTGCTCTAGAGCGTGATGTCAAACTTACCCTGGGAATACACGTTTCTGGGCAAGAAAAGAGTAATCATAAACAGTTAAAGCCCCCAAAACTTCCTAGGGCTTGACCATCAATTTGGATTGACTCAAAAGGTGTGCAGCAAAAGATACAGGCGGACAGGTGGCAATCTGGAGTGCAGTAGTTTATAAAAGGTGTGTATCCAGAAGACAATGCAGGACTGCCCCAGCCAGCCTCTCCATACTAAAGTGTCTCCAGGGGCTAAACATGAGATCAGATGATAATGGCAAAAGAAGAGAATGGATTGATTATGATGACTAATTATATCCCCTGGAAAATTAAGCACCGATGAGATACCAAAACCCACAGAAAATGTTTGAATTTGCATATAGAAATACATACATGTGTTTGCAGGTGAACAGAATGTTGTCTAATATGAGACCAAACCACAGCAGCTTCTTCAGGAGAATCAAACTCAAAGTGGGAAGGAGCATCTGCCCTGCTTTTAACATTTTAGAGCAAGGACATATATTATTTTAGTATTTTTTAAAGTGGTTATTAAAGTCCTCATGGGTGAGTTAATTTTGTTCCAGATCTATACCACCTCAAATATGATTTATAATAAAAACTTCCTGGCTTCTTTTTATTTTGTACAAATTAATAGTTAATCTCTTCAATATATGTGTGTATATACACACACACATATATATTCTTTTCATTCTTAGAATACTCTAAAAATTATAAATTATATACTCTAGAAATTATAAATTATCTCCAATTTATACCTAAGGTACAGAAAGGTTAAATGACTTGTCCAAACCAAAAAATGGTTGTAGCTGGAATTCAAATCCAAATAGCACCATCCAAAGCTTGTACTCTTAGCTACTCTTATATACTATCTCTTGAGAAACATAAACATGTTAAGAAGGATACCAACCACAGCCACAAAGTTGGGGACCTGAGTTTTTTCCAGCATCTCCTTGAGTTGATCCACCTCCACTCGATACTCATCCAGCTGACATTCTAACTTCTCTCTGCGTAATCGTTCATACTCCAGCTGGCCCTGCAGCTCTTTGATAGTCCTGTCAAAAAATTTTGTTTTCAATCAGTAACCAGTATCAACTAGCAATTATTTCTGGTGATAGTGAAAAGTATCCTTACATTATATTTAAGGCAAATAAATCATTTATTCAACAAATATGTATTAAAAGTCTACGCACTGATCTAGATCCTGGGAATAAACTAGTGAACAAAGTAGGCTGTATCTGCCCTCATGGGGCTTTCTTAGACAGTAAAGAAAATAAGAAAATATATGTACTTAAATATAAGTATGTTGGAAGGTAATAAATGCTTGGGAGGAAAAAAATAGAGCAAGACAGTCATAGAAGATGTTTTAGAAGAAGGGGTTAATATCTCATACACAGTGGCTAGGGAACGCCTTACTGAAAAGGGGGTTTGTAAGCAAATTCCAAAGGAAATAAGAGAGATAATTAAGTGGACATCCAGGGAAAGAGCATCCAGACAGAACAGCAAGTGCAAAGGTCCTGAGGCAGAGAAATACCTGGGGAACTAGAAGAAAACTGGAAGCCAGTGTGACTGAGTAGAGTCCAAGAGGTAAAAGAAGCCAGAACAAGCAGGGTCGTACAGATGACAGGGAGGACCAGGCTTCACTCAGCAAAACAGGAAGCCATTGGAGGATCTCAACAGAGACAGAGCAGGACTATAATAACAGATTTCCTCTCTTTGTGCAGCTTTCTTTTTAATTATGTAAAATTCACTTTGTGTGATTACACAAATATCAAGTAAACAATTCAATGAGTTTCTTTTCTTTTTTCGTGGTCAAGTCATGCAGCATGTGCCTGCTGCAGTGGAAGCACAGACTATTTAAGCACTGGACCACCAGGGAATTCCCTTCAATGAGTTTCCACTAATGTGTACACCTTTGCATCCACCATGACTACCAAGATACAAAATACTTCTGATCTCAGAAAGTTCGTAACATTCTCCCCAGGCAATCCTCACTTTGCACAGGCAACCACACTTCTGAACACCTATCATGTTAGATTAGTTTTGTCTCTGCTCATAAACGAAGTTGTACATTATATACATCTGTGGGCCTGGCTTCTTTCAGTGAACAATAGGTGAGATTTATCTGCTTGGGTTTTTTTTGTTTTCCCAATTATTTTTATTAGTTGGAGGCTAATTGCTTTACAGCATTGTAGTGGTTTTTGCCGTACACTGACATGAATCAGCCATGGAATCTACATGTGTTCCCCATCCTGAACCCGTCTGCTTGGGTTTTAACATGACTAACAGGCCACAGGGTATGAGGGTGGGAGAGAAAGGAGCAGGGCAAGGAGTTGGGAGACATATCAGGACGACATGAAAATAAACAAAAATAAACCCAGACAAGTGATGCTCGGACTTGAACCAGAGTTACTTTCTGCCTTATTATTGGGATGATGAGGGGACTGGAACTCCCAACACACCCTGAGTTGGATGTCAGGTCTCAAAGAGGGAAATCTAAGAATATACAATAGTAGCTTTAGTATTGCGTGGGGTTGAGGCTGGGGATAGGAAAGAACAACATAACTATGGAAACCTAGAATTCAGAAAACAGGAAAAGAAAATCAGCCCCAGGACTGATTCTGAGTTTCATCTAACTAATAACAAAATCAAAAGGACATCCCTCAACCAATACTTAGCTAAGTTTCCTTTACATTTACATCTAGTATTGGGAGTTTGTATCCAAAGAATAAATGTTTTAGGATGTACTCAACACAAAGTAGGGAACAAACAATTGGATGGATCATGGAGAAAGCAAGGGAATTCCAGAAAAACATCTACTTCTGCTTCATTGATTACACTAATGCCTTTGACTGTGTGGATCACAACAAACTATGGAAAATTCTTAAAGAGATGGGAGTCAGACCACCTTATCTGTCTCCTGAGACCCTGTATGTGGGTCAAGAAGCAACAGTTAGAATCAGACATGGAACAAATGACTGGTTCAAAACTGGGAAAGGAGTACCTCAAGGCTGTAGACTGTCACCCTGCTTATTTAATTTATATGCGGAGTACATCATCTGGGCTGGATGAGGCACAAGCTGGAATCAAGATCACTAGGAGAAACAGCAACAACCTCAGATATGCAGATGATACCACTCTAATGGCAGAAAGTGAAGAGGAACTAAAGAGCCTCTTGATGAGGGTGAAAGGGGAGTGTGAAAAAGCTGGCTTAAAACTCAACATTATGGAAGAAATGGACAAATTATTAGAAAAGCATAACCTTCCAAAACTGAACCAGGAAGAAATAGAAAATCTGAACAGATCAATCACAAGCACAGAAATCGAAACTGTAATCAAAAATCTTCCAACAAACAAAAGCCCAGGACCAAATGGCTTCACAGCTGAATTCTACCAAAAATTTAGAGAAGAGCTAACATCTATCTTACTCAAACTCTGCCAGGAAACTGCAGAGGAAAGCAAACTCCCAAAAGCATTCGATGAGGCCACCATCACCCTAATTCCAAACCAGACAAAGATGCCACAGAAGAAAACTACAGGCCAATATCACACTGACGAACATAGATGGAAAAACCCTCAACAAAATTCAGGCAACCAGAATCCAACAACATATTTTAAAAGCATACATCATGACCAAGTTGGCTTTATTCCAGGGATGCACAGATATTCACAAATCAATCAATGTGATACACCATATTAATAAATTGCAAGATAAGAAACCATATGACTATCTCAATAGACGCAGAGAAAGCCTTTGAAAAAATTCAACACCCATTTATGATAAAAAAACAAACAAACTCCAGAAAGCAGGCATAGAAGAAATACACCTCAACATAAAAAAGCCATATTCAACAAACCCCAGCAAACATTATCCTCAATGGTGAAAAATTGAAAGCATTTCCTCTAAAATCAGGAACAAGACAAGGGTGCCCACTCTCACCACTACTATTCAACATAGTTTTGGAAGTCCTAGCCATAGCAATCAGAGAAGAAAAAGAAATACAAGGAATCCAGATTGGAAAAGAAGAAGTAAAACTCCCACTGTTTGCAGATGACATAATCCTCTACATAGAAAAAACCCTAAAGATGCCACAAGAAAATTACTAGAGCTAATCAATGAATATAGTAAAGTTGTAGGATATAAAATTAATACACAGAACTCCCCTGCAATCCTATACACTAACAATGAAAAAACAGAAAGAGAAATTAAGGAAACAATCCCATTCACCATTGCGATGAAAAGAACAACATACTCAGAAATAAATTTACCAAAAGAAACAAAAGACCTATATATAGAAAACTATAAAACCCTGATGAAAGAAATCAAAGATGACACAAATAGATGGAGAAATATATCATGTTTGTGGACTGGAAGAATCAATATAGTGAAAATGGCTATACTACCCAAAACAATTATAGATTCAATGCAATCCCTATCAAGCTACCAACGGTATTTTTCACAGAACTAGAACATATAATTTCACAATTTATATGGAAACACAAAAAACCTCAACCAAAGCAATCTTGAGAAAGAAGAATGGAACTCGAGGAATCAACCTGCCTGACTCCAGCCTCTACTACAAAGCCACAGTCATCAAGACAGTATGGTACTGGCACAAAGACAGAAATATAGATCAATGGAACAAAATAAAAAGCCCAGAGATAAATCCATGCACCTATGGACACCTTATCTTTGACAAAGGAGGCAAAAATAAACAATGGAGAAAAGACAGTCTATTCATTAACAAGTGGTACTGGGAAAACTGGTCAACCACTTGTAAAAGAATGAAACTAGAACACTATCTAACACCATACACAAAAATAAACTCAAAATGGATTAAAGATCCAAATATAAGACCAGAAACTATAAAACTCTTAGAGAAAAACATAGGCAAAACACTCTCCAACATAAATCACAGCAAGATCCTCTATGACCCACCTCCCAGAGTAATGGAGATAAAAACAAAAATAAACAAATGGGACCTAATTAAACTTAAAAGCTTATGTGCAATGAAGGAAACTATAAGCAAGGTGAAAACACAGCCCTCAGAATTGGAGAAAATAATAGCATCTGAAACAACTGACAAAGAATTAATCTCTAAAAGATACAAGCAGCTCATGCAGTTCAACACCAGAAAAACAAACAACCCAATCAAAAAGTGGGAAAAAGACCTAAACAAACATTTTTCCAAAGAAGACATACAGATGTCTAGCAAACACATAAAAAGATGTGTTTTCATCTTTTCATGTGAAATGCAAATCAAAACCACAATGAGATATCATCTCACGCCAGCCAGAATGGCCATCATCAAAAAGTCTACAAACAATAAATGCTGGAGACGGTGCAGAGAAAAGGGAACTGTCTCATACTATCAGTGGGAATGCAAACAGGTACAGCCACTATGGAGAACAGTGTGGAGATTCCTTTAAAAACTGGGAATAGAACTGCCATACAACCCAGCAATCCCACTGCTGGGCATACACACCAAGGAAACCAGAATTGAAAGAGACACACATACCCCAATGTTCACTGCAGCACTGTTTACAATAACTAGGACACAGAAGCAAGCTAGATGTCCATTGGAAGATGAACGGATAAGGAAGTTGTGGTACCTATACACAATGGAATATTACTCAGCTATAAAAAGGAACACATTTGAGTCAGTTCTAATGAGGTGGATGAAACTGGAACCTGTTATACAGAGTGAAGTAAGTCAGAAAGAGAAACACCAATACTGTATATTAATGCATATATGTGGAATTTTAAAAGATGGTAACAATAATCCTATATGCAAAGCAGCACAAGAGACACAGATGCAAAGAACAGACTTTTGGACTCTGTGGGAGAAGGCAAGGGTGGGGTGATTTGAGAGAATAGCCCTGAAACAATATATTACCATATGTAAAACAGATGACCACTGCAAGTTTGATGCATGAAGCAAGGCACTCAAAGCTGGTGCTCTGAGACAACCCAGAGGGATGGAGTGGGGAAAAAGGTGGGAGAGGGGTTCAGGATGGGGGTACACGTGCACCCGTGGCTGATTCATGTCAATGTATTAGAAAAACCATTCCAATATTGTAAAGTAATTATTCTCCAATTATTCTCGCACAGTCGTATCCAACTCTGTGCAACTCTATGGACTATAGCCCACCAGGCTCCTCTGTCCAAGGGATTATTCAGGCAAGAATACTGGAGTGGGTTGCCATGCCCTCCCCCAGGGGATCTTCCTGACCCAGGGATCGAACCATGTCTGTTACATCTCCTGAATTGACAGCTAGGTTCTTTACCCTAGTGCCACATGGAAAGCCCAATGTATGGGGAAAACTATCACAATATTGTAAAGCAGTTATTCTCCAATTAAACATTTAAAAAATCAACATTAAAAAAAGGAAGATCTCATCTGGTCTCATCACTTCATGGCAAATAGAAGGGGAAAAAAGTAGAAGCAGTGACAGATTTTATTTTGGGGGGCTCGAAAATCACTGTGGATGGTGACTGCAGCCATGAAATTAAAAGGTGCTTGCTCCTTAGAAGGAAAGCTATGACAAACCTAGGCAGTGTATTAAAAAGCAGAGATCACTTTGCCGACAAAGGTCCACATAATCAAAGCTATGGTTTCTCCAGTAGTCATATACAGATGTGAGAGCTGGACCATAAAGAAAGCTGAGCGCCAAAGAACTGATGCTTTCAAATTGTGGTGCTGGAGAAGACCATCAAGAGTCCCCCGGCCTGCAAGGATGGATCAAACTAGTCAATCCTAAAGGAAACCAACCCTGAATATTCATTGGAAGGACGGATGCTGGAGCTGAAGCTTCAACACTTTGGCCACCTGATGCAAAGAGCTGATTCATTGAAAAAGACCCTGATGCTGGGAAAGGTTGAAGGCAAAAGGAGAAGCGGGCAACAGAGGATGAGATGGTTAGATAGCATCACCAACTCGATGGACATGAATTTGAGTAAACTCCGGGAGTTAACACAGGACAGAGGAGCCTGGCATGCTGCAGTCCGTGGGGTCACAAAGAGTCACACACGATTTAGTGACTGAACAACGATAACAAGATGACTATTAAAATTGTAGTGACCTTGGCTAATAGATTTAGAGTCAATAGATTCAGGCCAAATCCTGACTCCACCCCTCACCCTTAGTCCTCCCTTTGTGACCTCATGCAAGTCACTTAACCTGTAGTTAAATCTTGGTTTCCCAATCCACATAGTGAGAGAATAGCTCATGGAAGTATGAAGACTGCATGAAACAGTATATATGAGAGGCTTACCTAATGCCTAGCATACAGCAGTGCTCAGAAGTATCAACAGTACAAGTAGTATAGTAATCTGCCTCAGAAGTAAAGGGAACAAAATTTAAAGCTGATTATCTAGGAAATAATTGCCCCACTGTGAAGTGCTTTTCTAGACTACAAGGGATCTAAGAAATTTTAGCTAAGTTCTTAGGCAGAGGCCAATACTAAAAACATTCGACATCTCAAAAGACTTTACAGAGGCAGTGGATAGCTACTTGTGTGATGTGATTTATGAAATATAAGGACATTCTGATTAAAAAAAATTTTTTTTTGTCTACCACAACTTTCAAATATCCATAGAAAGAGAGTACATTCATCCTATCAAAGACTTAGATGTTACTTTGAATAAATTACCAGATCTCTTACTGAGAGGATGCAGAAGAAGATGAATGAAAGGGAAACAGGAGGTTCTAACGAGGAGGAAGAGAATCCAATGAAAGGAAAGGGCGGGGAAAGCAAAGAACCCATGTGCTCTGCTCTTTAAAGACCCGGTTTGATAAAAGCAGCAGTCTCCCTCCTGCCTGCCTGAGCTCTCTGAGCCCTGTGGAAAGGACACAGACGAGCAGAGCAGCAGTGGGAGGAAGAAGCACTTGACACCCTCTATCGCAGCAGCTGTTCATCAACCAGAGCGGGGCCAGATGTGCCCAGAGCCGACCTTGGGTGCAAAAAGTGAAAGGTGAGGGGGCCCTTGCTGTCTCCAGGCTTGAGAGCATGTGGGGGGCACCACCATCCATGAACACAGGACTGGGTCACACACTTGTGAGCAGGAAGTCCAATATGACAGGGATGGCTAGAGACTGTTGGCTGAAAATCTCAAAGTAGCTGTCTCAAATACAACAACTCCTCCTTATAAGGCTTTAGTTTTGCAAGATAGAAAGTTCTGGAGAACAGTTGTGCGAAAATGTAAATGTACATGACATGACTGAATTCTACCTTAAAAATAGTTAAGGTGACACATTTTTTGTTATGCACATTTTACCACAATTTTTAAAAAATCTTAACACCTTCTCCATCTGAGAGTTTAAGAGGAAAACAGGTTGGAAACTCAAACCCTTTGGTGGGATGAAAAAACAAGCTGTTCAGCAACAAACCCTCACGTGGCATTTAGAAAGGTAAGTAAAAACAAATCACTAGCATTTTGAGGACATTACTTTTCAGACTCGAGCTGTTCTTTCTTCTGCTTCACATCTTCTTCTGTTATTCCTCCCAAGTGTTTATAGTTGCTCTCAGCAATTTCAAGGAGGTGTCTCAATTCTACAATTTTCTTATAAGCTCTCACTGCAAGACAGAGTTGAATAGCAACCTAGTTTAGACAGGTAACAGCCCATGTACTCACAGGAGGCTGGCCCTGAAGCATATTCTTCCTCTAGAGCCATGTCTGCAAGGTCAGAGGAAGTGAAGGGAGGGAGGGTGGTGTCTACATAGAAGGATAAACACCAGTAGTAGAGTACTAGGGTAAACAAACAGTGAAATACCTAAATGGGCGATTATTTTCCTGATGCTAGAGGATGTATCATTGTTACGGCTATTATTAATACCATGAACAGGGAAGGAGGGAGGCTGGCGAGCAGCATTTTAGGACTACCAATCACACATGATCTAATTATGTCAGATAATTAGAAAAACTGAAATATGCTTGATGTATTTAAGATAAACTAGAACTAATCCAATTCCCAAATTTTGTCATTAGTCACTTGTAGTACCTTCAAAAGATGATACTGAGAAGGAAGTTTGCTGATAGCTGCTTTGAGCTATTCTCCAACTATTAAAACTAGGATCTTTCTATCCTTTGTGGTACTAGTTCTCAACCTGGGTTGATTTTCTCCTCCAAGGAGTATGTGGCAATATCTGGAGACCTTTTAACTTGCTGACCCTTGGAGGATGAAGGGAAACAGGCTATTGGCATGTAGAGGCTCAGGATGCTACTAAACATCTTAAAATACACATGAGAACCCCCTCAACAAATAAGGATCTGGCCCAAAATGTCCATAGTACAGAAGCTGAGAAATTCTGCCATACAACCAGTTAACAAATCACTTCCTCTGATTTATCTCTCAGTTGGTTAGAGCTGCAGGTTCCAAACTGCACACATCAGAATCAACTTGGGCACTTTTTAAAATGGTTATGTTTGAGCCCCATATCAGTCCTACAAATTCAGGTCTTCATACCCTGTACAAGCTCCTCAGACAATGCAGATGCACAGACAGGTTTGGGATCCACCATAACCACCAGCAAGCAAATAGAGGGGATTTTTTTTTTAATGTTACATAAGATTGAAAGAATTGTGACTGTTTATCTAATCTTTAATATTTGAAGGCTATGTTTTGAAAAAGCTGCTCTATGGGATTGTAAGAGCTAGGACTAATCAGGATTAGCTCCAGGAAGACAGATCTTAACAAAGGTGAAACTTGAAATAAAAGCAGTAAGAGTTATCGTGCATTTGTGGAGTGCCTATGATGGGCAGGACACTGCGCTAAGTGCCTTGTACACTTTAATCCTCACAAGAACCCTGTCAAAAGGTAGAAATGGGCCATCTGGGCAACAGTGTCTTCACTGAAAGTAACTGGATGCTGGATGATGTGACAGGAGTGTTGAGCCAGAAGCCAAACCTCAAATGGTTCCAGGGTTCTATGATGCCATGACCCTAAACCTAACTCACTAAAGAATGCTCTGAACTGAAACTCAGTTCCAAGAATTCTGGGATGATAAGAAATCCAACCAGTCCCCTATAGGTGCTCCTGCAAAACCTAATGTTCCAAGAAGAGACTGGCTAGTCCTTTGGATTTTGTTCTGGAATAAAATTAAATAAGGATAAGAAAACAGCACATACAAACCCTCACTAGCTGCAAACACCCGATTGGGCACCAGCAGAGTCTCACTGTGTGACAAGGGTGTAAGAGGATGTTTACATCAAATACACCACAGTAAGGACCTGTTCTGGTTTCATTCATGGTCTTTCCCAAAGCATCTTTTAAAAATTTTGTGATTCACTGACAATGATACTTCACAAATATCTCCTGCTCAAATCATTTCAGAAGACAATGAAATTCTACAAAGCACCTGTTCATTTTCGGCAATTCTAGTAAGTCCTTGCTAATTCTCAGTACAATCAACAAAAAGAAATCTAAGCACAAACAAAAAATAGATATAGTGGATTTCATCAAAATGAAAAGCATGTGCACTGCAAAGGACATCATCAAGAAAAAAGACAACCCACAGAACAGGAGAAAACATCTGCAAATCATGTGTGTGACACGGGACTTAAATCTGGAAGTTCTCTTACAACTCAATAATAAAAAGATAAATAACTCAGTTGAAAAATAGGCAAAGGATTTGAGTGATATTTCTTCAAAGAAGACAATACAAGTGATCAATGGGCACATAAAAAGATACTGAACATCCCACTAATCATTAGGGAAATGCCAATCAAATCTACCAAATGAAATACCACTACACACTGTAATCAACTATTCATATAATCAATTAGACAACAAGCAACACTGGTAAGATGTGGGGAAACTGGAACCCTCACATGTGGTTGGTGGGAATGTAAAATGGTGCAGCCACTTTGGAAAACAATTTGAAGTTCTTCAAAATGCCAGACATACTTTTACCAAATGATGCAGCAATCCCAACTCCTAGGTGTATCCAAGGAAATGAAAATAAACGTCCAAACAAAAACATGTATACGAATGTTCACAGCAGCATTATTCTTAATAACCAAAATATGGAAACAACTCAAATGACTAGCAACTGATAAATGGATATATGAAGTGTATTTAGCAGTAAAAAAGAATAAATATGAAGTAATGATCCACGTTACAAAGTACATGAAGCTTGAAAACGTGCTAAGTGACAGAAGCTAGTCACAAAAGACCACAAATGGTATCAGTCCATTCATATGAAATACCCAGAATAGGCAAATCTATAGAGGCAGACAGCAGATTAGCAGTTGCCTAATTTGGGGGATGGTTTGGGGGTAAGGAAAAGAAGGTAGGGGTAATGGGTGTGAGGTTTTTTTCAGGGGTGATAGAAATACTACAAATTTTATTGTAATAATGGTTGCACAAATCTGAATATACTAAAACCATTATTAAATTATACTTTAAATAGGTAGATTAAATGGTATGTGAATTACATCTCAATAAAGCTATTTAAAATAAAGCTGTCAGGAAATTCTGAAGAGATCATTGACTCTGAGCCTTGCTATGAGGTGATCCAGGTGGGCTGCTTGTTGGGAGCCCCTGGCATCAGCATCTTCACGCTGCATTCACCATTAAAGAGGTTTCTACCATCTCCCAGAGAAGGAGGTTCTATCTAACAGTGTTCCGAGAGTTCTTTTGAAAAAATTTCTTTTATTTAGACATGAATTAGAAATTTTTCTCAGAGAATAGAGTTTTGGTACAACTAGTTCTTGTCAGAATAACTGAAAGTACTTTCCAGAGATCAGGAAGAAGGGAACTGGGCTTCCCTGGTGGCTCAGTGGTGAAGAATCAGCCTGTCAATGCAGGAGACACAGGTTCAATCCCTGGTCCAGGAGGATCCCACATGTCGAGGGACAACCAAGCCCATGCACCGCAACTTCTGGGCCTGTGCTCTAGAGCCCGGGAGCCACAATTACTGAGCCCACGAGCTGCTACTACTGAAGCCCAGACGCTCTAGGGCCTGCGCTCCACAAGGAGAGAAGCCTCTGCTCACTGCAACTAGGGAAAAGCCCAAACAGCGACAAAGACTCAGCACAGCCAGATAAATGAATACATTTAAAAAAAGAGGAAGGGAACTGACATTTACTAAGCTGCTACCATGAGCTAGGCACATCCCATTCATTAGTGCACTCTGTGACGGTGATGTTACATTAATATTCTCATTTTCATAGATGAGGAAACCAAGGTTCAGAGTAACACAGCTAGAAAGAGGTGAAGCCCTGATGTCTGAATCCACTGCCCAAGCACTGCTCACTTTACTACACCTGCCTCTGCTTTGGTTAGCCTCCATTCAAACAGATCCTTCTTATCTTTCTCATTATGAAAGAGTGCCATTGAATCAGTTCTTCTCATCCACTCATATGAGCCATGGTTCTCTGACAGACACCATGAGAAGTGAAATTAGGGTTATGTGGAATGAAAATATCACTTTCCTCATGGAGGGACTGAGATCATGTCTTATATTCTTTGTATGTTCAACAACCCCTAGTACAAAAATTTGTACTACTTCTCCCCAAAATACCAAAGTATTTTACTTTGTAGATGGTAATTATCTTTAGAATAATTCCCCAAGTTTGTGGTAAAAACTGGCTATGGTACTTTTTTAAAGGGAAAATCATGAAAGAGTTGGCACACTTACCTCTGGCATCTGTTTTATCCGACTCACTGAGACCTAAATCATCTTTGGCATCAGTGCTTCCCTCAACACCATGTCTTATAAAAAACCTAATATCATTTTCATTCATTTCATTCTCATCATCTGTATCATATTTCTGTAGTCCTTCTAATAGCTTTACAGCTGCTAAATGGGCAAACCTGTAGAAAAGAATTAGTAATTAACAGGATCCATAATCTTTTTCAAATTTAAATCACAGTTTGTACTTAATTTAGGGAATTACACTCTACATCATCTCACCAGCTCACCACCACTAAAGAAGCAAAACTGTATCTGAAAGTCGGTGACAATGTGACACATATCCAGCTTTGCAGGAAACTCAAATAGTTAGTGGAAACGAAGGACAAGCAGTCATACTAAAGGCTGATTCCATATTTTTGGGAGAGGCCAATCTATATGGCATGTGGAATCTTAGTTCCCCAGCCAGGGACTGAACCCAGGTCCTCAGCAGTGAGAGTACAGAGTCCTAACCACTGGGCTGCTAGGGAATTCCCAGATGCCATAATTTTCAGTGGCAAAAATCCAACTGAGAGAAGTGATCTACTACCAAAAGACTATGTGGTGTGCACCAGACAGAGCTGCTCAACTGGGCAGAAAACCCAGAACCACCCTACCTGATCTACCTGTGTTTACTACCATTTCCTGACGGCCTAATTTAGGTTGTAGAATTAGTTCTGGTTCCAGTTTGAGGGAAAACTACAGCTCTAGCCCCCTTAATCTTCATCCTTCCTCAACCCTCAAACACTCAGCATGGCTTTGAAATTTAATGGAAAAATAATGGCATATCTATCCACATTTCCTATTTTCTTTGATCTTCTCCACACCTCTATGAAGCTAGTAATATACTCTTGGTTTTCAGGTTGTTGCTGTGACTGTATGCAATCTGCATATTTTTTCCCAAAGTTTTGCTAATTAAAATGTTTAATTGCTTTCTCTTAGGAGATGAAGAATTACTCACTAAACACAAAAACCTCAAATCCCTATTTTTTCCTCACATACTTACATAACCACATGCACACATATATCCTAACCTTTCACCAGGTATTGCAAATCATTAATGATATAGTGATAAACACAGGAAGTTGTAAGGTTAAAAAAATTCATGATTAAAAAAAATTCATTATATCTATTACTAGACTGTAACTTAACAGCTAGCACTTACTGAGTACTTGCTTTATAAGAGATTCAAGGGTACTTCTATAACACCACACTCACACTTAGCATTTTAGTGGATGAATGACAAAAAAATGTGGGCCAGACATAATCACTCGTGATACTGATATAGACAAACAGATCCACGGATAAAATATAGGGTACAGAAATAAGCCCATGTATACATGGACACCTAACTGGGACAAAGACATAAAGGCAATTTAGGAAAAAAGACAGCTTTTTCAATAAATGCTGCTAGAACAATTAGATACCCATATGCAAAATAAAAAGAACTTAGATGCATACCTCATACCATATACAAAAATTAACTCAACATGGATCACAGACATCAGTGTAAAACCTAAAACAATGTCTAAAAGAAAACAAAAGGGGGATCAGGATGGGGAACACATGTAAATCCATCGCTGATTCGTGTCAATGTATGGCAAAAACCACTATAATACTGTAAAGTAATTAGCCTCCAACTAATAAAAATAAATGAAAAAAAAAATAATTTCATGGCTGCAGTCACCATCTGCAGTGGATTTGGAGCCCAAGGAAAATAAATAAATAAATAAACTAAATCAAGCTGCTACTTAAAAAAAAAAAAGAGGAAGAAATCAAAGATTTCTTAGATATGATACCAAAAAGAGTATCCCATAAAAGAGCAAATTGATAAAAAAAAAAAATTTTGTTCTTGGGACTTCCCTGGTGGTCAGTGGCTAAGACTCCACACTCCCAATGCAGGGGCCCAGGTTCCATCCCTGGTCAGAGAACTAGATCCCACATGTCACAACCAAGAGTCCACATGCCACAACTAAAGATTTTGCATGCCTGCAACTAAAAGATCCCATATGCCTCAACTATTTTTTTTTTAAATCTTACATGCTACAACAAAGGCTGAAGATCCTGCAAGCTATAACTAAGACCGAGCACACTCAAATAAATTAATAAACATTTTTTCAAAATTATTTTTGCTCGTTATTAAGAGGATGAAAAAACAAACCACAACTGAGAGAAAATCTTCACAAAACAAAAATCTGAGAAAGAATTAGTATCCAGAATATAGAAAGAGCTCTTAAAACTCAACAACAACAACAAAAAAAAAACTACCCAAAGTTCTGAACGGTCACTTTGCCAAAGAAAAACAAACAAATGACAAATATGAATATGAAAAGATGCATCAAGTCATTTTTCATTTGGAAAAAACAAAAGCCACAATAAGATACCAGTATACACCTACTGGAATTACGAAAATCAAAACATCTGGCAATATTAAACGCTGTCAAGACAAGGAGTAACAGAAACTCTCACCCATTGCTTGTGAGACGCATATCGGTGCGGTCACTCTGGATGGCACTGTGACAGTGGCTTAGAAAGACAGACACACCCTCAGCATCTGGCTCCCCTGGCGGCTCACACGGTAAAGCGTCCTGCTTACAACGCGGGAGACCTGGGCTCGATCCCTGAGTCAGGAAGATCCTCTGGAGAAGGAAATGGCAACCCCCTCCAGTACTCTTGCCTGGAAAATCCCGTGGACGGAGGAGCCTGGTAGGCTACAGTCCATGGGGTTGCAAAGAGTCAGACACGACTGAGCGACTTCACTTTCTCTTTACCATCTAACTCAGCAGTCCTACTCCTAAGTATTACCGAAGTGAATTGAGTACTTGCGTTCACACAAAAATCTGTATGTAAATATATATAGCAGCTGTATTCATAATCACCAAAAAGTAGATACAAATAAAACATCCTTCAACAGGTTAGGGGATAATCAAACTCTGGAATACTATGGAATTCCACAGCCACTGCAACAAGAAAGAGATGAACCACTACACATGAACAAACTTCAAAATAACTATGCTCAGTGAAAAAAGCCACATACATAAGAGTATGAGTATATACTGTATGTTTCCATTTATATAAAATTCTAGCAAATGCAAACTAATCTCTAGTAACAGAAAGCAAATTCATGTTTGCTTGGGGATGCAGCAGTGGAATGCAGTGGAAGGGAGAGAGATTACAAAGGTGCACAAGATTTTGTGAGGAGTGAAGGAAAAGTTCACTATCTTGATTGTGATTATGACTTCACAGGTATACACATGTATCAGAGTTCATCAGCTTGTGCTGTATCAATCTGTGTGCTTTAATGATAAATCTATTTTTAAAAATAAAGACAAAATTTAGCCTGAGTTGGTAATGATGCTAGTATGTAGTAAAACAAAACCATATTCCAAGGCTTCAAAAAGATCCTACAGACAAAAATTTTATGGAACATGACCTCATAAACAAAAACTGCATGGCAACTTAATGAATAATTAGGCCCTTGCATCCTGTCAAGCCTCATGTGCAGCTTTAGTCCACACTCCTATTTTACACTCAAGTTGTTCTCAGTCACATGCATTCCTTGAACACACAAGGCGTTCTCTTTCAACTCTTTCTCCTTCAAGTGGCAGCATAAATGTTGCTTTCACCAAGAAAAAAATTTTCCCAGACTTCTATATAAATTCTGACACCCTGCAGTTTCCTTCATAACTCTTACCACCATCTGTATTAACATTTCTCCCCCACAACTTTCAAACAGAAATACTTGGGCACTTTTTCTTCTATGTCCTTTATTGCACTTTATATAGGACTCCACTGGTGGATCAGATGGTAAAGAATCCACCCCCAATGCAGGAGACCCACGTTCAACCCCTGGGTCGGGAAGATCCTATATATAACGTGTACTGATAATGTAATTATAATAAATAAAGGTTACATTTGCACATTTATCTCTCCACAAGACCATAAGGTTGTTGAGAGCAAGGACTAAGTTTTTTCATCTTAGTAATTCTAATGCTAACCACAGCACTTGGAACATGGTTAAGCTGAATGAAAAATAATCAAATGAACAAATGGATGAACTAAAGTATTCCTTGAGGACCTGATCTGAAATGAGCTCCAAGTGAGTAATAATGGGTGTTACACTTAATTCAAATACAAATATTAAAATCTGTTTCAAAATCCATGCGACTCCTTTTGATTATTCCTTTCTATTACACAGCATTTTTCAACAGGTACCAGCATTTGGGCGGGGCAATTCTTCGTTGTACACCACTATTCTGAGCACTGTAGAATGTCTGGCATCCTTGGACTGACCTCATGAAACATCAGTGATGGTCTCCATCATTGTGACAACACTCCTCCGCACACATTTCCAAATTCACCACTCCACAAAGAAAGGGGACGATACTATCTCCTAGCTGAAAATTGCTTTAGAGAGAAGAGCTGATACGTTGTCAAACATCAATTGAGCTTGAAAATTATCATGCCATCAGCACTTGACTGAGTCCTATAATTTCAGAAATCTTCGGAGATAGAATTCTGAGTATAAGAGAATACATGCAAAATTTTAAAAACAAAGAAGCAAAACAGGTAGAGATACCTCTTAGCCACATCACTGGGTCTCTCCCTCGCTTTGTTGGTAATGTTATTGTCTGCTCCCATTTTAATCAGCCATTGCAAACACTCTATATGGCCTTGCCCAGCGGCTGTAAAAAAACAAACAAAACAAAATGCACACACACGAAAATATTATCAGTAAACAATTTTCTAAAATTTTGGACAGTACCACTAGAGAGTACTTTTGTAAATACTAATCCTTACAATAATCAACAAAAGTAGGTTGGCCAGATGTTATTTTCTCTATGTCACTTATTCATTCATTAGACACATATTTAATCAAATGTTTGCTATGCTCAGCCCTTACGTAGAAACTTTACATACAGATACAAAAAAGCTGAAGCTCAGAGGATATTTATTTAACATCACACAGCCTATAAGTAATGGATTTGAAACTATAACATATGCTTTGTGCTAACCCTTATCCAGTGCTCATCGACTGTACTCACAGCTTCCAACCAATCCTGTATCAAGCCAAATGTGAGTATAATCTATGTGAATGTGAAAGACTGGAAAATCTTTTGTCATCTTCTATAAACAGTTTATTCCTCTGGCCTTCACAACTCAGAATTTACGGCCTCCTTGATGATCACATAAACCGTTCGTCACCTCTCCTTAAAACACATGCACTCAACAGTAATTTTCACCTCCACAGCTCAGCTTATATGTCTTCACACCTGGTGCCCATCACCCAATTACATGCTCATCTAACTTTTCCCCTCCTCCTCAGTCCATCTCAAGACTCGGGGAAACTGTAGGGTGGTGGGGGAGCTCAATAATCTAGAAAGATTTTAGTTTAGATTCACTAAACAACAGACTGGAGGACAGGACAGAACTTAGAAAGTGGCTGGCATGCAGAAATATAATAAAAATAATAATACAGAGTTGATGAATAAATGATGAAGAAAATGAATGAAATCTTAGCTCTGCTCTTACTAGTTGTGCAACCTCAGTCCAGAAATCCGAGGCGGGTGATATAAATTGGAAATTTGGGATTAACAGATAGACTACTATTTATAAAACAAATAAATAACAAGGACATACTGTATGGCATAGGGAACTATACGCAATAACTTGTAATAATCTACAATGGAAAAGAATCTGAAAAAGAATATATACATATATGTAAATATAACTTAATCACTTTGTTATATATCTGAAACATGTAAATCAACTAAACTTCAATATTTTTTAATAACATTAAAAAAAAAAAACCCTGATCCCTCTGGACCTCAATTTCCTTACCTTTTGCAGAGTTTGTTGTCATATTTATAAGAATAATACACTACTGCTTCATAAAACTACAATAAGGATTAAATATGATGACAGTTTTACACCCTGTTTAGTGTTTACTAACATATTATATCTATATTCCCATGACACTTCCTCTGTAATTTAACCCAAAGAAACTTCTGTTCCTCACCATCTACTCCTGAATTCCTATTCCACGTATTTTAACAGCCAAATACTTTTTGCCACTGATTACACCCTGACTTACACAAATGTCTAGGTGCTCACAGTATAAGCATGTAGCTCCTTGGCAATAAGGTCTAAACTCATGCTGTCTTCATGGTGCAGGCATGTGCTTGGTCTGAATACATACACGTGTGCTCAGTTGCTCAGCTGTGTCTGACTCTTTGCGACCCTACAGGGGACTCCACAACTGTTTATCTTTTAAGTGAATGAATGGATGGAGATGACCACTTTGCAGAACTCTTCCTTGTTGTCTTAGCTTTCCAACTGTTTAACCCTTTAGGTCAATCATGTGTGATTCTGCATATATATTTGAATTATGTGCTGTGTGCATGCTCATTCACTTAGTCATGTCTGACTCTTTGTCACCCCATGGACTGTAGCCCACCAGGCTCCTCTGTCCATGGGATTCTCCAGGCAAGAATACTGGAGTGGGTTGCCATTTCCTTCTGCAGGGGATCTTCCCGACCCAGGGATCAAACTCACGTCTCCAGCATCTCCTGCACTGGCCAGTGGATTCTTATACCACTGAGCCACCTGGGAAGCCCTGCTGAATATATACATGCCTCTCTAAGATGAGTCAAAGAAGAGGAACTTTTGGTATGACTCTGATGCTTTAAAAGTCAATCTCCAATACTGGCAACAGTGAGGAAAGGACACAAAGCCAGACCCAGTGACAGAGCAATGCCCTCACCACAGCCCTGCATACAAAGGCCTGGAAGACTCTTGTCCTCCCCTTCTCTGCTTGACTCATCACCAAAACTCAGTGCTGGCTCCTGAAGAGACTGGGGTTTCTCTCAGCAAATCTAAAACCAGCTAACAAAGAATACTGCAGGGGACTTCCCTGATGGTCCAGTGGCTAAGGCTCCACACTCCCAATGCAGAGGGCCTAGGGTTCAATCCCTGCTGAGGGAACCAGGTCCCACATGCTGCAACCAAAGATTTCTCGTGCTACAACTAAAGATCCCACACGCAGCATCTAGACCTGGCACAGCCAAAAAAATAAATAAATATGTATTTAAAAAAAAGAACACTACGGGATTTCCCAGACCTCAAGATGCCCATCTTTGCTACAATGCTACAATAATGACACCCCACATACACATTAGCAATAGAAACCGGTTATGTATACAGGATATGATATGGAACTTTGCTCCAGGGTACCACATTTTAAAAAATACTCTATGAACATTTTGAATCTCCCCCCATTCACAAACCTCATGGTAAAGAGTTTTACACCTAAACATTCAGCGGAGATAGGTGAAATGAAATTCTCTGAGTCTAGGGTAGAACGTTTACTGAAGTGAGGACCTTTCTATGTGAGGAGAAACTCCTTTCATGTTCCTCTTCCTCCTGCTCCACTGACCCTCTCTCTCTGATAAAACATGGTGCTTAGATTCTATACTTGAGACCCAACACGACTTAAATGAACTTTAATGATTAAGCTAACAACAGAACCAACAAAAACACGATCTGCGACTGGGACTCCCAGAAGTAATGTATGAAATAAAGTACAATCCAAACACAAGACTATATTAACAAGCCTATATATATATTAACAAGCCTACTTTTTACACTAAGACTTTAAACAGAATTATATTCCATTGATTATGAAGAAACTTATGACATATCACAAATCAAACAGAATGGAAATTCACATGCAGTAGGTTAAAGATTTGGTTTCTCATTTTATAAATAAAAGATTGTCAAGAATAAATCCTACAGTGTATATTCCCAACACTAAGCTGACAATTTAACAGCCTGATTTAAAAACAAACATAAAAAGATTAAGATTCTCACAGAGGGAAGGAGAGCACAAAGAAAAATGGCAGATATTTTGAAAATGTGTTCAAATCTAATGTTCACTGATATTTCTATGGCAGTAAAAACATTTTTGCAGGGTACAAGAAAGAAGAAAATTCAACTCAACCTTTTTAAAAATATATTTATTTATTTATTTGGCTGCATCAAGTCTTAGTTGCCACATGTGGGATCTTAAATTGTGTCATGTGGGATCCTTTGTCGTGGGGCGTGGGCTCAGTGCACCGAGGCATGTGGGATCTTAGTTCCCTAAACAGAGATCGAAGCCACATCCCCTGACTACAAGGTGGATTTTTTAACAAATGGACCACCAGAGAAGTCCCCTGCTCAATCTTCTTTTCTAGAGAGATGGTTTCTGTTTCAATAAACTAATCACTTTTAGTCCAAAGAAAATGACAGTCCTCAGAAACTTCTCTGGTAGTGAACTTCACTTAACTTCAGTGTCACAAGAGAATTTGTGAATTACCCTCAAATGTAATAATGCGTCAATGTCCGACATAAAAGGAATTATCACACTTGAGTTGAAAATTAAGCACCCTGTATACCATATAAGGTAGACTGATACCTCTCAGCATATCAGGAAAAATTTTACATTTTCATGTGCTTCTAATGAATAATTACTTTAACAGTAAGTAACTCAACAGCCAATTGTGTTAAAACTGAAGCAGGAATCATAACTTACCTTTATGCATAAGAGTTGATCCATTATTATCACGTTCATTAATATTAATTACCCCATCTTCTATTAATTTCTTAAGCATTTCCAAATCACCCTTAAAGGCAGCAACATGACCTGGAAATGCTAATGCTATGAATAAAAAAATTCAGTATTTCAGTAAACACAGGAATTCATTCTTTTTCCCTGCCTTAATCAGTCATACATTTCAGGTTTCAATATTATGAGAATGTTATATTAGAATTAGTTCAGTTGATGCAATGACAAGTAATAAGATTATTATTGTGTGCCTTTCCATCCCTCAGGATATGAAAAGGACTATACTGTACCAGAACTATTCCTGTCATCTTCCCTGTTTCTCTCAGGCCACCACAAAATACAAGGAGATGGTCATTTTCAACCCTTTGCATAAATATATACTTGGTCTCAAGTTGTACATCTGCACAGACCACTCCCTCTGTTTACAAGGAAGTGATCAAAGCAAAGGAAACTGGAAGCAGATGAGGTATACAGGTGTGTGCATACATACACAGGTAGGAGTGCACCTGACCTGGGGCCCAGCACAGAGCAAATGCTTCGTAACATGTTTCTAATGGAAACAGTTACACACACTGGGCTCTTACTGAACGTCAGGCATGGCAGTACGCGCTTAAAAGGACTGCCTCATTTTGCCCTCTTAGCAACCCTGCAATAGCTGTTCTCAATTTTATATATGGAAAGAAAACAACCTAGAATACTCAAAAGGAATATTTTTAAAAGAACAAAGTTGAAAATATAGTAGCTGATTGCCAGTCTTACTATAAAGCTAGTAATCAAAAAGCTGTGTAGTATTGGCAAATAAATAGAATATCAATAAGACAGAATGCTTAAACAAAACATGGGACATCCATACAATGGAATACTACTAAGCAATAAAAAGTAATGAACTACTAATACACATAATACAAATCAATCTCAAAAGAGTTCCATTAGAAAAACCCAAACTAATCTATAGTGACAGAAAACAAATCTGTGGTTGTGTAGGTCAGGGTGAAAGAAGGGATGAGAGGGTATGAAAAAATATTTGAGGTAATGAAAGTGCTTTGCATCTTGATTGTGATGGTGGTTTCATAATATATATTAAAACTCAAACTGCATATTTAAATATAGTTTATTGTACATAAATCATATTTTAATAAAGTTGCCTTTTTTAAAATAAAGGACATCATTTGTGAAAAAAGTCATAATGTGAGAGAAAATATATCAGATAAAATTAATAAAAGATAGGTATCAGAACTATATAAAAGAACTCAAGTAGTTTAGAAAAGGACAAAGAACAATTCTACAGGCAATTCATAGAAAAGTAAACTAAAACAGCCAGTAACTTTATGAAGCAATGTTCAACCTTATTAGTAATCAAAAAATGCAAATTAAAACACAAGTTAAACCTCTTCATACCCAACTAAGTGGCAAAAATGTTTAAGTCTGACAACACTGAATATTGTTCATCTAAATTCTCACCAAACATTGCTGATGAGAGTGTAAATTATTACAACCACTTTGATGAAGAATGCAGCATTTATACCTATTTATACTGACGATGGGCATATCCCACCAAACAAAACCTAAAGTAGAATTTCCAAAGTGTTTGCCAAGGCAGAGCTCTCAGCCCTCAATCTTCAGAGTAGACAAGCAGTACACCTCAAGAAGTCTCATCCACTGGTCCCAGCGTGCCACACAAGTGTCATATGCAGTATAGGCTACGTGTGAAAAAGGTAGTGAGGCACTCCTCTAAAGAATATCTCATACTTGCACACAAGGACACTTTTAAGAATATTCATCACCACATGGATTGTAACACTGAAAACTGTAAACAATCTAAACATCAAACTGGAGAATGGAATAATAATGTTTTTATTAAATGCCATACTACACAAAAAATTTAAAAGAATAAACTAGAATACATCTATCTAATAAGCCTGAAAAATCATAACATTTCACAAAAAAAAGTCAGAGAAGAATACATACTGTTTTATGCCCTTTTTATCAAGTTTTAAAAGAAGTTTCAGGGACTTCCCTGGTGGTGGTGAAGAATCCACCTGCCAATTCCAGGGACATGGGTTCATCCCTTGTCCAGGAAGATCCCACATGCTGTGGAGCAAGCCCGTGCATCACAACTCCTGAGCCTGCCTGCTGCAACCACACAAGCCCAGGCACCTAGAGCCCAGTGCCTGCAACAAAAGAAGCCCTGCACTGCAGTGAAGACCGGCCCCAGCTCGTCACCATTAGAAAAAGCCTGCGCACAGCAACAAAGATCCAGAGCGGCCAAAAATCAATCAATCAATCTTTAAAAAAAAAAAAAGAAATTTCAAAGACTCCTAGTTGTCCACTGAAACCTTCCTTTCATAGCAACAAGAGATGTAGCAAAGCTGAGGGTCCTCAGCTGGTTACTGAATTCTCCAGGCTTCCCCACAGCTGAGTGTGGCCATGTGACTGACTAACCTCTTGCCAATCGAATGTTAGCAAAAGTGATGACTGCAAACTAGACTTTGAAAATCCTAGTTTATACTTTGTTCTCTCCCCACCTCCTGCTGGATCAGCAACACCGAGAGAGAGAGCTGGTTAGGATGACAACAGGTCTCTGAATGACTGCACAGAGCAAGATTCACTCTCCAACTGAAGCTATCCCATAAAAGAAATAAACTTCTGTATCATTTAAACTGTTGAATTTTAGGATTTCTCATTAGTTACAACAGGTTAGTTCCCTACTCTAAATATTCACAAAATGATACTGCATATTTTTGTGAGTACATATATACTAAATAAAAAACCACAGAATGGAATTATAAATCTAAAATAATGGTTACCTCTGAGGATGGAGAAAAGGGAATGAATGGTATTGAGAGAAACAGGAAACTTCAAGTATATCTAACCTAATATTTTATTCTTAAATCTAGTGGTATAAAGAATGTTCATTATGTTACATTAATCTCTATATATATCTGCTTAAAATATTTCATACAAAGAAGAGAATCTGGATGAACTGTGTGGACAATGAAACGCAACATATTTTAATACAACATTTGCCTTATAACTCTCTTCCTTTTCTTTTCTATTCTGCTTTTTAAATGCTATAACACTTCAGATTATTACTTACTTTCTTGATCTGTTGGATCATTTCCTTCATACTCAGCCCCCCGGATAAACTGTAAAATGTTCTGCTTAAAGAACCTCTGGGCCAGGTCCAGTACATTTTCTCCATTATCATTGAAGGCTTTCAAACCTTGGGAGGCACTGCTCATTCTACTGAGTAGGAATTTAAAACAGTGAAGGTGGCCTTCCATGGCTGCTAAGTGAACTAGAGGTGAGAGGAAAAACAACAATTTAATTTTAGATTGACAATAAAATAACTTGAAAAAAAAATAACACGTTAATTCTAGTTCTCCTAAGGAGATGACTCTCCTACTCTAAATAACGGGGCTTCCCAGGTGGTACAGTGACAAAGAACCCACCTACCACCTTCCCTGGGTTGGGAAGATCCCCCAGAGAGGGGAATGGCAACCCACCCACTACAGTATTCTTGCCTCGAAAATTTCATGGACAGAGGAGCCTGGTGGGCTACAGTCCATGGGGCTGCAAAGAGTCAGACACCTGAGCATGCACACACACACACTCTATAGAACAGAGATGTACTCTGGATGCAAGAATAACAGACCATTTTTTCAGCATACATATCCTTAGCTAGCCTCCAAGTCAGGCCACAGCAGTAGGCTAAATAGTTGAATAGTTACACTTACTGTGAACTAGAAAAGCTAAGTGAGGGTCACCAAAGCGCAGATCTCAAAAAATTTTCGTGGAAAGTGAAATCCAAATTGTGCAGCTTATATGGGAAAAAAAAAAAAAACGCTTTCTATTTATTATCAGTCGTGTCCGACTCTTTGCAACCCCATGGACTGCAGCACACCAGGCCTCCCCATTCATCACCACCAACTCCCGGAGTTTACTCAAACTCATGTCCATTTGAGTCAGTGATGCCATCCAACCATCTCATCCTCTGTCATCCCCTTCTCCCGCCACCAGGGAAGCCCTCTATGTAATATAGGTGATAGGTGAGTTATCTTAATATTTTGGAAAAAAGTGGAAGAAATAAACCAAAATAGTCATTATGCAAATAGGGGTGATGTTATTTTTATCACTATGCATTTTGTCACTTTTCTATAAATATTATTTTTACTATAAACAAGAAAACTGGATCAAAACTACAGTCTATTCACACAAACTATCTCACCCATTCCTTCTCTTAAATTCTTGAAAATAACAGGAAAGATATTTCTTAAAGCCGTAATGACAAGAGAAACAGACAAGAATACCTTGAACAGACAAGAAGTCTGAAGGGGGTGGGGGGTGCTACCCTGGTGGTCCAGTGGTCAAGAACCTGCCTTGCAATGCAGGGGATACAAGTTTTGATTCCTGGTCTGGAAAGATCCCACATGCCTCCAGGCAACCAAGCCCACCCACCCTACATCCCAAGCTCTACAACAGTAAGAAGCCCATGCACTGCAATGAAGACTCAGCGTAACTAAAATAAACTAACACTAAATAAATTAAAAAAAATTTTTTAATGTTAAGGAATCCCTGGAAGAAAATAAAATGAATTAGACTGAGGGAGAGCCATAACCCAAAATCTGCAAAAAATAGGAGTGGTTCTTGAGTACTACAAGCTTAGAGGCAATCATTACAAAGAACAGGATAGCCTTTACATCTCTTGAGAAGTGATCATTGGGAAACAGTCCAATTCATGTATAAATCTTGGCTCTGGAGAAATAGGGCAGTGCCCAAGTTATCAGCAAAACTCAGGAGAATCAATTAAGTAACAATGTCCAAAAGACACTTTGTTGGCACGTGCCACTGTACACTTTCTCAGCTGAACCTCCCATTGAAAAACTCCCCATGAAAGTTCAGATTCCTCTAACTACTTCCTCATTGTATACACTGAAATGTATTATAGGAATTTCTAACTTTACAGGTCAAAAACTGAACTCCTTACCCTTTTTTACATACATACACAACTCTCCCCGTATCAGTTACTAGAAATGCTCTCCCTTCTGTGAAGATCAGGCCAAAACCCTGAGTCCTATTTCTGTCAGTCCCCACATCTAATCAATCAGCAAATCTTATTGGCTCTATCTTTAAAACATACACAAACCCCAATCACTTCTCACTATCTTGCCACCTCTACGCTGACTAAGAAATTGTAGACTAAATTATAGCATCAAGCTCCTAAATGCTCATGCCCACACCCTCATTACAATCTAGTATTATGAACATAATAGCCAAAAATGATGCTCTTAAACAGATCACCTTTATGTACAAAATCCTTCAATGGCTCCTGTTACCTCTTGGCCTGATCATCTATTACTAACCTCCTCACTTCTGTCTGAACCACACTGACTTGGTGTTACTACTCACTATTACACAAATACACCCAGGCACGATGCTGCCTCAAGAGCTTTACACTTGCTGGAGTTCTTCCTAAAATGTTTCTCCTCCAGGATATCAAGACCTGTTCTCTCAACTCCAAGTCTTCACTCAACTGTCAACTCTTCATGAAGGTTTCTCTCACCACCCTATTTTAACTTCATCCCCTGTAACATTCTACTTCCCTTTGCAATTTAACCTAAACACATATCCTTATTTAATATATGTTTTGTTCATTAAGTTCAGTTCAGTTGCTCAGTCATATCCAACTCTTTGTGACCCCGTGAACCACAGCACACCAGGCCTCCCTGTTCATCACCAACTCCCGGAATCCACCCAAACCCAAGTCCATTGAGTCAGTGATGCCATCTAACCATCTTATCCTCTGTCGTCCCCTTCTCCTCCTGCCCTCAATATTTCCCAGCATCAGGGTATTTTCAAAAGAATCAGCTCTTCACATCAGGTAGCCAAAGTATTGGAGTTTGAGCTTCAGCATCAGTCCTTCCAATGAACACACAGGACTGATCTCCTTTAGGATGGACTGGTTGGATCTCCTTGCAGTCCAAGGGACTTTCAAGAGTCTTCTCCAACACCACAGTTCAAAAGCATCAATTCTTTGGCGCTCAGCTTTCTTTATAGTCCAACTCTCACAGCCATACATGACCATTGGAAAAACCATAGCCTTGCCTAGACAGATCTTTGTTGACAAAGTAATGTCTCTGCTTTCTAATATGCTGTCTAGGTTGGTCATAACTTTCCTTCCAAGGAGTAAGCGCCTTTTAATTTCATAGCTGCAATCACCATCTGCAGTGATTTTGGAGCCCAGAAAAATAAAGTCAGCCACTGTTTCCACTGTTTCCCCATCCATTTGCCATTAAGTGATGGGACCAGATGCCATAATCTTAGTTTTCTGAATGCTGAGCTTTAAGCCAACTTTTTCACTCTCCTCTTTCACTTTCGTCAAGAGGCTCTTTAGTTCTTCACTTTCTGCCATAAGGGTGGTGTCACCAGCATATCTGAGGTTATTGATATTTCTCCCTGCAATCTTGATTCCAGCTTATGTTTCATCTAGCCCAGTGTTTTTCATGATGTACTCTGCATATAAAGTTAAATAAGCAGAGTGACAATATACAGCCTTGACGTACTCCTTTCCCGATTTGGAAACAGTCTGTTGCTCCATGTCCAGTTCTAACTGTTGCTTCCTGACCTGCATACAGGTTTCTCAAGAGGCAGGTCAGGTGGTCTGGTATTCCCATCTCTTTCAGAATTTTCCAGTTTGTTGTGATCCACACAGTCAAAGGCTTTGGCATAGTCAATCAAGCAGAAAAGATGTTTTTCTGGAACTCTCTTGCTTTTTCCATGATCGAGCGGATGTTGGCAATTTGATCTCTGATTTCTCTGCCTTTTCTAAAACCAGCTTGAACATCTGGAAGTTCACGGTTCACGTATTGCTGAAGCCTGGCTTGGAGAATTTTATACATCACTTTACTAGTGTGTGAGATGAATGCAATCGTGCAGTAGTTTGAGCATTCTTTGGCATTGCCTTTCTTCATTCATTTTTATTATTATTATTATTAGGGTCTGTCTCCCCCCCTCACCACCAAACAAATGCAGAGACTTTTGTCTGTTTTATTTGCAGTGATATCCCCAGCACCTAGGGACTGACACACAGATACTTTAAAAATAAATTTTGAATTAATAATTTTTCAGAGAGAGATCTGAATATAAGCAGTATAATCCTGAGTCCACATTCTTAACCTCTACATTATACTATTAAAAATATACTATAAATGGTTATAAAATAACTATACATTTTTTAGAATGTATAGTTTTAAAGAAATAAAAGTTGAATGTTTTTTCAACAAGCAGGCAACAATCGACTAACAAAGTGATCAGGCAAATTCAATTAAGTACTAAATTAAAATGAAACCGCCCCTTACCTTGCATTACAGAAAAGTCGGTTATAGGTAGGCTGGAGATTTAAATGTAAAAGTGAAATAATAAAATTCCTAGAAGATAATATGAGTATCCTTGGGAATTCCCTGACGATCCAATCGTTAGGACTCCACGTTTTCACTGCAGAGTCCAGACTTAATCCCTCGTCGGGGAACTAAGATACCTCAAGCCACACAGTGTGGCCAAGGCGGGGGAATTTATACACACACACACATAAAAGAGTGTCTTCAAGACCATATAGTAGGAAAAGACGTTTTAGCAAGAGTCATAAAACACTAACTGTTGGGGTCTAGCCCCAGCAGGACCCAGGGGAACCCTCAGGATGAACGGCGTCGGCGAATGAGAGAGAGAGTGAGACAAAGCTCGGGGCTAAGTCTGAAGTTTATTTCTGCACGGCCCCTTTATACCCTTAACAACATCTTTGGGGGAAGTGCATATTGCTTACTCACAGGTCATCTCAAAACATTACAGCAACTTGACCTTCAACAGAAACAGGATGTCACCCACATACTTCCGTTCACAAGAGTCTTTCTTATCATTTGGCCTTCAGGCCTGCTAACATTTTATGGCTTGCACCTGGTGTGACTTAAGCAACTTCAGTAGCCGACCCTGTTTTTCTTATAATAAATCAATTTTCTTTTTAATAAGCATCATCTCTATGGGAACTAGATAGGATTACATTTTTACAGAACAGAAATGCGAAGGACTGCAGAAACAGCAGATATGGCACAAAACAGGCTCTTAGTCTAAAAGTTAACTACCTGCAAGAAGTCGCCAGCTAATCTCTATCTAAAGTATTTTCTATTAGGCACATTTGTGACTATTATTTATGGAGCTTTTCTCACCCCGTGGAGGGGCCTATGCTTAATAGTTTCTTTTGTTAGCGTACTGTGTTTAGGATATTTAGAACAATCAAGAACATTTTGTGCGATGAGATCACACATTTATCAAACAAGCCAGAATGCCAGCAAAATGTTTGAATGGAAGCATTTTCTTCATCTCTGGCCCCTTCATAGGGTACCAGCATCCAGGAGATTTATTAATTAGGGTTTTAAGTTGGTCCTCATTTAGTGAAAGAGGAGCAGGAGAGCTCTCAGCAGACAACACAGAATCTGCAGCAGGGCGAACAAGAGCAACAGCAGAAAAGGGGGGAGGATACAGGGTGGGATAGAGGCCGAGGCCAACCTGGAGGCTCCCTTATCCTAGACGGCCTTGGCTGTCAGGTTTTTTCCTCGTGACCTCGTCATGGATGGGGCCCCGGACGGCCTTGCCTGCCCGGTATTTTCTTCATGACCTCGCCAAGGGCAGGACCCCCCATAACAGCTCCCGGCATCTAACCACAAAGCAAGAGTTTAAAGTGAAAGTGAAGTCGCTCAGTCGTGTCTGACTCTTTGCAACCCCGTGGACTGTAGCCCACCAGGTTCCTCCGTCCATGGGATTCTCCAGGCAAGAGTACTGGAGTGGGTTGCCATTTCCTTCTCCAGGGGATCTTCTCCAGGGACTGAACCCAGGTCTCCCGCGTTGCAGGCAGACGCTCTGAGCCACCAGGGAAGCCCAAGGGAGAGCTTATTAAACATTAAAATTAAAACTTCTAGTCATCAAAAGATATCTTAACAGAATGAAAAGGCAAGACATAGAAAAGATAGTTAAATAGAAAAGATAGTTGCAACACCTGTGACTAAGAGCTTGTATCTGGCATATATAAAGACCCCTACAATTCAATTAGAAAAAGGATGGACAGTTTAATAAAAGAAAAAGACAGAAGTTTCACACTGGTATTTCACAGAAGAAAATAACCAAACAGCCATTAAACATATGAAAAGATGTTCTACACCCCTAGTTATCAGAGAAAATACAAATTAAAACCACAATGAGATATTACTATATACTCAAAACAATGACTAAAACTAAAAAAAACTGACCGTATCAAGTGTTAATGAGAAAGCAGAGTAACTTAAAGCCTTATACACTGCTCATGGGTGTACAAATTCATAACAAACGCTCCAGAAAATCGAAAGAAACCACACACAAAAGGACATCAGTGCATTATTTTATTCCATGGAATTCAGAAAGAAAAATACTGACTTTTATGTTGAAAGTCAAGGTAGTGATTAACTTTGGAAATTGGTAGTAACTAGAAAGAGGATATGAAAAAGACTATCCTGTTTCTTGAAACACTTCACAGAAAAGTGTTCACTTATGAAAATTTTCTGAGCTGTGCATTTGAATTGAGTGTTTCTCTATATGCATGTTGTACTTCAAAAAAAAAAAATTTAAAAGACTGAGAGTAAAATAGCTAGTTTCAGATACACAAAAACTGAGAGTTCAAGCCAACAGACCTTTCTTTACTAAATGAACAGTAAAGGATGTCCTTCAGAAGGAAGCAATGTGATTTCAGACAGTAAGTAGTGTCACAGGATGGAAGATGAGGGCAGGGAGGTAGGTCAGAGCCAAATTATGAAGGCCCAGCCTGCCAAACTAAGGAATCAGAGATTTGCAGGTATCTAGGGAGTTTTTTTAAACAGGAGAATGGTTTGATTATAGTGATCATTTTGTCTGGACTTCCCCTTCACTTGTTTGCCACCTAAGATTCCTTTAAGATATAAGTCAACTATCCTTTTCAGTAACCCATCTCACTGTGGTCTAACTCTCTTCTGAACTTACAGCACCTCTCAGAAGACGACAGGGTATATTACAGGTCTCAAATGGCTACCTGAGTGCAGGCTAAACAACTGCAATGAGCAAATTAGTTCAAACACACTACTGTCCAATATTTGTACTATTTCTTTTTTTTAAAGTAATCTGTGGGGCAGAGACATCTGTGGGGCAGTGTCCACTATTTGCTATTTTTTTTAAAGTAATCTGTGGGGTGGAAACATAATTTAAAAAACAGTAACACTAGACAGTATATGAGAAAAGCAACTAGTGGGAAGAGTAAATGGAAGCTTTTTATTTTTCCAGTTTCTCTTTTGCTGCTAAAATGTTGTTCACGGAAAGAAAAAAATCATATGATGGGTTCATAACATAGAAATAAGATTAAAAACGTTCATGTCAAGGGACTTCCCTGGTGGTCCAGTGGCCAAGAGTCTGTACACTCCCACTGCAGGAGGCAAGAGTTTGATCCCTGACTGGGGGACAATCCCCATGCCTCAACAAAGGATAAGCACAGCCAAATGAGTGAGTACTTTTTTAATGGTCACGTCAGATGTATTCACCACTTCAGTTTTGTTAGGAACTGTTAGAATGATGACAGTTTGAATTTCTTAAACATGATTCAAACATTTGAAAAGTTTATATTAATGAAAGTCAAAATGTTTGTTTCTGCAAATACCTGGAAGGTTTCCGTTGTAGTCCACGTCTTCTACACTACATCCCCACTTCACGAGAAGTTGCAAACAGCCAAGCCGCCCATGAAAAGCTGCATAATGCACAGGTTTCCACTCTCTCTTATCAGTCACGCTGGGATCCTACAGATAACATTCACAAGGACTCAGTTTCCTTCCATCTTGCAGCAAAAACACTAAGTCTAGCAGCTTAATTCTACAAATGAGAACCAGAAGCTGTTCTTAAAACTGTAAGGCAAACACTAAATATAACAGAAATATTTACTGCAACCACTGATTTGAACATATAACCTAAAATACTAATGAAATTTTTAAATCTTTTTTAAAAAGAATATAACTTGCCACATAGAAACTGCTTCTAAAAAGGTACTTAACTAGTCATTTTACAGGTCACAAGTTCCTGACCAACAAAATGAAAGATAGATTCAAATGATCAAATTGTATCTTGGGAATGTAATCCAAGAGTTAATGAAAAATATTTAATTCTTATAAGTTTTTTTTATAACCACTGGGTAATTTTAAAAATAAATATTGCAATAAATGAAATTTTTGGAGATATAAATCACTTTGTAAATTAGTTCATGAAATAAGAGTTACAAAAGAAACACACAGGTAAACACATACCAATTCAGAAAGGTTACAATTGCTGGTTAAGATGTGTTTGGAAGCTTCAGTATCTTCCTGGTAAACTTTGAACTCATATGAAGGACATATACGCTCTGAAATATTTTGTACCACTGGGCCGGTTTTTTTGTTGCTAAAGATTTAATTAAATTATTGGTCCCATGTTTAAATATGGGAAAGTTAAAGAGAGAGATCAAATTACGTCCTCAGAGTCTTATGAAGCATATAAAAAGTCAGGAAGAGATAACCAGACTACCAAATGTTAGTCCATCTACATGATTATACATTTTCACATATTAACAGGAACACCTCACCACTCCACTTCGGAGCATTATTTGTAAAGTGAAAGAATGTCCATGTGTTGCAGCAAGGTGTAAAGGAGTGCACCCACGATCATCTTGAGCGGCCAGGTTGGCTCCATTGATTATAAGAGCCTGAAGGCAGAGAAATAAGAAGGAATGTATGTGAACACAGACGCTAAATCATGCAGATACAGATTATTTAAAGGCAAGCAATTTATTAATCTATAGCTAAGTTATTATGTAAGTTTTTTTCATGCATGCTACACGCAAAGTGTAAGAATTTCTTAGCCAGTCCTAAGAAAAAGCTTGAAATCCTTTTTAACATTACCTAGGAGACACTCATAACCGATTTCACATTTTGAGTATGTACATATAATTCATAAAACAAACTTTTCATGAGCACAGATTAAAAACCACTAACTTAAATAATTTAATGCTAAGCTAATAAAACTGAAATTTAAACTTCCTCTATTTCAAAAGCAGAATCTTTTATTAACTGGGTTTTTAATATAATAAAAGGACTTCATTATTAAAGTAACCAATTCTAAGCTCCAAATCAAACTTCTAACTGCATCTGAGGAGATTCCATATGAATTTACACTTGGCCCAGTTTCTATATATGGGTTACAGATTATACACAACATGTCCCTCTATATAATATACAGAGCAATTAGTTTAAAAGATTATTAGCTAATATTTTTCAGTTTTATCTCCCTCAGACCTTTTTCTTTTCTAACCAGCCTATATTTACCAGTATCTCAGCTAAAGTTTACTTAGTCATAATTCCTCCCAAGAGTTTTAGGAAGAATAGCTTCCATGATTTTGGCTGACTCTCATTAACAAACCAGTCAATAATCATCACAAACCACACACCAAGGGCTTACTACATCACTACAAAGAATATAAAGATGTATTAACTTAGGGAATTAGGATATATGTAGAGACAGACAATCAACTATACAAAGCAGTCCTTGGTAAGTAACAAATGCACAACACAGTACCCAAAAGCATCACAAAAGCTCTAAGAATGAAGAGATCACTTTGAGGAAGAAAAGGACAATCAAGGCAGAAAGAATGGCTTAAACCAGTGCTTAGGGGAAGGCAAGCATCAAGTAAAACTTCATTTGACCCTGATACCCCCTTAAGTTACTGCTGTATTTGTACCTTCCTTTCACTGCCTACTTTTCAAATTAATAACCTCACTGCCTGAATGTTAAGTCCACCTACAAACTGGGTGCCATCTCTATCATTCCAGAAATACAGCCAACCTCCCACTATAGAGTTCTCAAATTCAACGGCATTTCCTTAAGTGTTGTTCCTCTTAGTTTTATTCTGTAACTGATACACTACCTGACTTCTTCAGCTTCTTCCTTCACTTGCAGTCAATGCATCCTGGCTCTCTATCTCTCTTTCTCCTCTAAATTCTTTACTCATTTCACTGCTTGCTTCCATCCCTACTAGTAACATGCTTCAAAACTCAACTCTCAATACTCCAGACACTCTTCTCTAAGCTTTATTTCTCCTGAAATCTTGCTCTCCAGTGCCCTTTTCAACTGCCTGGACCATCTGTACCTGAATGACCAACAGGCACCTTAAACTCAACATAAGCCAAACTAAACTCAACATCCTTCCTCCCAAATCTCCCCTGCCTTTCAGATGTCCCTATCTATAGTGCCGTAATTATCCGGCATTCTGACTCAGAACCTTACAGTCTCACTACACTTTGGCAGTGCTTGCTTTGAAAGATGTTTTAAATAATTTTCTTTGTTTCTCATTGCAACCAACTAATCTTATCTTCTATGGTTAATGATTATACCAAAAGTCTCTAATTTTCTTGCTTCCAAACTCTATTCATTCTAGATAATCCTGGATGCATCATGCTAAAATAACTTCCTAAAATACTGTTTTCAATACCACATTCCCCTGTTAATGTCCATGTGCATGTGTATATATGTGTGCACACATATATATATACACACATATAAATGTCTCTTTCCTATACAAATGAATCTTTATTCTATTACTAAGACATTTTACAAATCTGGCTTATCTAAACTTAGTTCACAACAGTTCACCTAAGAAACCATCTACACTCAGTCAAACTCATACAACAGTATATTCCTCAAACACACCACACTTTTCCAATTCAAAGATTTCACACAGAATTATAGCATAGATGTTAACAGAACAAAGTCTGAATTCAAACTTCGGCTTTGTCACTAACATAGGCAGCATACTTAACTCTGAATCTGTTTCCTAATCTACATGAAAGGAAACTCAAAACACCATTGTATTAAATGAAGTGATGCATGGGAGACTGTGATTGACAAAAAGTGTTTGATAAATTTAATCATTATTTTTATTTTCTCCTGACACATTCCCTACCTACAATGCTTCCTCACAACTTATCTTCTTAAAATCAACCCATTCTTTTAGGATTAGCTGAAGTTTCATTCCCTCCATTTTGATTCCTCTATCTCAAGTTCTACAGTTCTTTTCATCTATGCTTTCATGAGAATCTTACTCATAGACTATGATGTGTTCTATTTTGTAACTCACTGAGTAAAGGTCCTGTCATTGCAAATAGACTCTCAGGCTTCTTACAGGTAGGAACTGTTTGCTTATACGATTTTGTCTTCCTCCAAGTTTCAATCCATTTCACTACATTTATTCAATCTACTTACTCTAATAAACTAGATCCTGACACATATTAATGTGTAACTCTAGCCGAGGAAATATATTAAATGAGGAATTTTAGGCATGGAAATCTGGACATGACTGTAACAGCCCTTAAAACAACCCAAACAGATAGCCAACTACTTTAGAGATAAAATAATTTCAGATCTTACACAATCTGTTTGAGTGATTTGTTGTTGTTTAACTGCTCAGTCCTGTAAGACTCTTTGAGACCCCATGAACTACAGCCCGCCAGGCTCCTCTGTCCATGGAATTTCCCAGGTAAGAACACTGGAGTTGGCTGCTATTTCCTTCTCCAGAGGATTGTCTTAACCCAGGGATCGAACCTGCATATCCTGCATTAGCCGGTGGATTCTTTACCAGAGTCACTAGGGAAGTAATTTCTAAAGCAGTTAAATGCATTGACTTTTTAAAGAAGTAACCAAGGGTTTCTCTGGTGGCTCAGTGGTAAAGCATCTGCCTGCCAATGCAGGAGGCATGGGTTCGATTCCTGATCCAGGGAGATCCCACGTGTCATGGAGCAACTAAGCCCATGAGCCACAACTACTAAGCCTGTACTCTAGAGCCCAGGAGCCCCAGCTGCCGAAGCCTGGGCACCCTAGAGCCTGTGCTCCCCAACAAGAGAGGCCATGTCAATGAGAAGTCTACACATCGCAACCAGAGAGTACCCCCCACTCGCCATGAGAGAAAAGCACATACAGCAATGAAGACCCAGGACAGCCATAAATAAATAAATAAAATTATAAGAAAAACATAAAAAGTAACCAAGTTATTATTACCTGCATGCAAGCATCCTGTCCCCTGATAGCAGATATGTGAGCTGCTGTCCAGCCTCGCACGGTTACTTGTGAGATATCAGCGCCATGCCAGAGAAGCCAATGAAGACACTGCATGAAGAAAACCACCATGTTAACCATGATGGCAGGTATTTGACATTTTTCTATCTTTCAAGTTAGTCTATCATAAAACACTACAGCCTGAGAAGCATCACTAGTGAATGAGGGCGCAGGTATAAGAAAAACAAAAGCACAATCACAATGATATGATAGCCCACATTTGGCCTTATTGTTGGGTTAACAATACAGAGTGGTAAGAGATGAGGAAAACTGGAGACCACCTTCCTTATCCGTAAGGTGAAATTCTACTCTATCCCAGCCAGTTTTTGCACTGAATGAAATGCTGGTCCAAATCTTATGTTTGACCAATACTTTACAAGCCCAACAAAACATATCTGTGGTTAAATTCATTCAACAGCTGCCAATTTACAACCTCTACCACAGGTTTTGAAATGGATCCAGAAAATTCTGTATCAGAGCAAATACTGTTATTCTGAGAAGGCAGTGACAAAAAACTATCCAAAAGAATTAGAAATGCAAGAAGGCAAACTGATTGTCTGAGAAGGGTTTACAAATAGCTGAAAAAAGAAGAGAAAGGGACAGGCAAGGGAGAAAGGGAAAGATATACCCAACTGCATGCAGAGTTGCAGAGAATAGTAAGGAGAGATAAGAAGGCCTTCTTAGATGAACAATGCAAAGAAACAGAGGAAAACAAAAGAATGGGGAAGATTAGAGATCTCTTCAAGAAAATTAGAGCTATCAAGGAAACACTTCATGCAAGGATAGGCTCGATAAAGGACAGAAATGGTAAGAACCTAACAGAAGCAGAAGATATTAAGAAGAGGTGGCAAGAATACACAGAACTACAAAAAACACCTTAAACCCAGAAAACCACAATAGTGTAGTCACTCACCTAGAGCCAGATATCCTGGAGTGTGAAGTCAAGTGGGTCTTAGGAAGCAATATTACAAAGCTAGTGGAGGTGATGGAATTTCAGCTGAGCTATTTCAAATTTTAAAAGATGATGCTGTTGAAGTGCTGCACTCAATATATCAGCGTATTTGGAAAACTCAGCAGTGGCCATAGGACTGGAAAAGATTAGTTGTCATTCCAATTCCAAAGAAGAGAAATGCCAAAGAATGTTCAAACTGTTGTACAAAAATTGAGCTCCTTTCACGTGCTAGTAGCTTAAAATCCTTCATGACAGGCTTCAGCAGTAGGGAACCGAAAATTCCTCATGTACAAGCTGGTTTTAGAAAAGGCAGAGGAACCAGAGATCAAATTGCCAACATCCGTTGGATCATCAAAAAAGCAAGAAACTTCCAGAAAAACATCTACTTCTGCTTTATTAACTACGCCAAATCCTTTGTGTGGATCACAACAAACTGGAAAATTCTTAAAGAGATGGGAATACCAGACCACCTGACCTGCCTCCTGAGAAATCTGTATGCAGGTCAGGAAGCAACAGTTAGAAATGGACATGGAACAACAGACTGGTTCCAAATCAGGAAAGGAGTACATCAAGGCTGTATATTGTCACCCTGCTTATTTAACTTATATGCAAAGTACATCATGAGAAATGCTGGGCTGGAGGAAGCACAAGCTGGAATCAAGATTGCCGGGAAAAATATCAATAACCTCAGATGGGCAGATGACACCACCCTCATGGCAGAAAGTGAAGAAGAACTAAAGAACCTCTTGATGAAAGTGAAAGAGGAGAGTGAAAAAGTTGGCTTAAAGCTCAACATTCAGAAAACTAAGATCATGGCATCTGGTCCCATCACTTCATGGCAAATAGATGGGGAAACAGTGGAAATGAAGAAGGAATTCATAGGGCCTGGACTCCATCTCAGGCCTGTCTGTGCTGGTCGTGCGCGGCCACCTCTCCAGTGGACTCTGAACTCTGTGCTTAGCGCCTGTGGGAATGACAATGGAAGGATAAGACGCCCCTCTGGGCAGGGGAATCTTGAAGACACTAATCACCCCTGCCTCCGGACAGTATCTATTGAAATGTAACCACAGGCTTATCGGTTATTAACTGGTTGGAATGTAACCGTGGGCTTATTGATTGCTAACTGTTTGAACACATAACACGTGAATGATGGGGTTATTGTGATTGTATTTACCCTTCCTTTGTAAGCCTAAAGGGATTTGGGCTGGTGGGTTTGGACATGTACACATGGGGTATAAAAGATTTTCACATAATGCTGGTCGGGGCCCTTGGCTAAGAGGAGACTCTGCCTTGGGCCCACCGGCGTAATAAACTGCACTCCACTAACTGCATTGTCCTTCTGAGTGAGTTTGTTTCCCACAAAGTGTGGCTATAACAGAAATAGTGACAGACTTTATTTTTCTGGGCTCCAAAATCACTGCAGATGGTGACTGTAGCCACGATATTAAAAGACACTTGCTTCTTGGAAGAAAAGTTATGACCAACCTAGACAGCATATTAAAAAGCAGAGACATTACTTTGCCAACAAAGGCACATCGAGTCAAAGCTATGGTTTTTCCAGTAGTCATGTATGGATGTGAGAGTTGGACTATAAAGAAAGCTGAGCACAGAAGAAGTGATGCTTTCAAACTGTGGTGTTGGAGAAGACTCCTCAGAGTCTCTTGGACTGCAAGATCCAACCAGTCCATCCTAAAGGAAATCAGTCCTGAATATTCATTGGAAGGACTGATTCTGAAGCTCAAACTCCAATACTTTGGCCACCTGATGGAAGAACTGACTCATTTGAAAAGACCCTGATGCTGGGAAAGATCAAAGGCAGGAGAAGGGGATGACAGAGGATGAGGTGGTTAGACAGCATCACCAATTCAATGGACATGAATATGAGCAAACTCTAGGAGATAGTGAAAGACAGGAAAGCCTGGCTTGCTGCAGTCCATGAGATCACAAAGGGTTGTGACATGAGTTAGTGACTGAACAACAAAAGAAAATAAGTAGCACATTAAACAAAGGGAGGGAACCAAATAAATCTTAAGATTTTTTAAAGTTAACTTAAGTCTCAACAAATACACTACTAGAGGTCTGTGCCACATACGGTGTTACAGCCTATATATATTTTCAACTTTGTCGTCTACCTTCAAGAAGTTTCCTTCTTGTATCATTCAGATACACTGTCACATCAGTCATTATGATATATCATTTTTTGGAAAGGGCAGTAACTTAAGTATCATCTGTCTATCATGGAGATTAATGGCTGAAAAAATATGAAGGGGGTGCTCAACCTCACTAATAATCACAGTAAGACATTCATTTTTACTCAACAAATATTTATGGAGATGACTGTATGCTAACACTGCATAGGTAGTGAAGAATAAAACCACTGTAAACACTGATGTACAAGGTCTCTATCCTGGGTAAATACATACAAGTGAGACTGCTAGGACACAGATAAGTGTATGTTTCACTTTACAAGAAACTGCTAAACTGTTCTCCAAAGCAGCTCTATCAGTTTACACTTCTACCAGCAGTGTATGAGACTTCTAGTTGTTCCATATCCTTGTCCATATTTGTTATTATCATTTTTCTGGGTTATGTTTTTCTTTTTGTTTCGCCATTCTAATAGGTGTGTGGTGGCATCTAATTGTGGTTTTAATTAGCATTTTCCTACTGGCTAATGATGTTGAACACTTTTTTCATGTGCTCATTACCAGTCATATATACTCTTTGAGAAAGTATCTATTGAAACCATTTGGCCATTTTTAATTGGGTTTTTAATTTTCTTACTACTGAATTGTGAGTGTCATACATTCTGGCTACAAGTTCTTAGTCATATTTATGATTTGCAAAAATTTCCTATGTTTTCATCTAGAAGTTTTATTAAGGTTAAGTTTCACGTTTCTTTATGACCTGTTTTCAGTACATTTTCATATATAGTACCAAATATGAACTAAGGTTCACTTTCTTACATACGATTGTCCAGTTGTGCCAACACCATTTAATAAAAATACTATCTGTTTTCCATTGGACTATATTTGCATCTCTGTCAATAATCAACTGACCAATCAGCAGGACTTCAGAAATGACTAAGTGAGGAGCTTCATAAATCCTCCCCAAGAAGCAATGACAAAACCAGAAAAAACTGTCAAAAAGAACCATTTGGTAGTGGTTAGGACTCCGCACTTCCACCACAGTGGACGTGGGTTTGATGGGTTGGGGAACTAAGGTTACGCATGCCAAGCAGCCATGGCCAAAAAAAAGAAATTTGAAGATTCTGCAAGGCATGTAACGAAGTGGGAAGCATGTATCGAGAAATATCCGCAGACTCTAAGAACAGGAGGAGCCTGTGGTAACGTATTAGCCTGTGACTGCAAGCGCCCTTAGCCCCAGCTCCGTGACACAGCAGCTCTACCGGGTGGACAGCCCCACTGGCCTGCTAGAGACCGAGAAGCCATGCCCCGGCACACTTTAGCACACTCTACTCCTCGGTGGCAACAAGCGAGGAAAGCCAACATCAGAACCAGTCATCACACTGGCTGGGCAAACACAGAACTACAACCCTCCTAGAAAAGTAACGGGAAATTCAAGAAACGAGGCAACCTAAGTGCGTCTTGCTAAGATTCCACTTATGCTTTCTGGTCTAAAAAGCTGGGTACATGTACAACATTGTTCATACCCAGCAAAGATTGAAGAAGTCCCAAGCTGGCTAGACATTCCTGGCTAAGGCCTGAAAACACATGGGGGAAAAAAAAAAGCCAAGCTGACTTATAAACCGCTTGGACTTTGAACACATTCTCCAAGCCATACACAGAATCATTAGCAAGATGGTCACCTTAGTGGCTCAAGGTATTTAAGCACAGCCTCTGATTAATCACTGGCTGACCACTAAGCTATGCTGTTCCAGGGGTGATCCCTATGAAGCCACACTTAAACATAAAAATAAGAGGGAAATTCCCTGGTGATACACTGGTTAGGATTCAGGTCTTTCACTGCAGGGGCACAAATTCAACCTCAAGTTGGAAAACTACTTATTAAGATCCCTCAAGCCAGGCAGCCAAACTAAATAAATATTTAAAAATAAAAAGAATTAAAAAAAATAAATAAA